GGGTATACTGTACGTGATCTACAGCATAGATACTGTTAAAAAATAAAATATTAGAGAGACTTAACGTCTTCATATTAAAGGCAAAGAGGATACACCACAGTAAGGTAAGTACAGTAGAGAATCAGTCAATGGCGAAGAGGATGAAGCAAGAAACTTTTTCTCATTTCAACACTAGTTTCATAATTTCAAAACTCCTTATTTTTTAAAAATAACATATTACAACTTACTTTGAGTTTGAACAACTGCTTCCTAGACTACAGCTGTTCAAACTCAATGTGACTCAGTAAAAACCCCATAATTTGTACTCCTTTAATTCAAAATCACTCATAATTTGTAATGTTTTAAAATTACAAAATATAGTTAAAAAAATTAATATTTGGTAAAAATTTAAAATATGAGAGACATTCTGAAATACAGTAACCCTTGCTATTCGTGAGTTGCGATTTTGTGATTTTGATGATTCGCGGTAAGCAGATGATGGCGAGTTTGCAAATCTTTTCCGCAGCACGAGTCACCCCAAGCAGCATCTCATATTGTACTGTACTGTCAAAACTTTAGTTATTCTGTGTGAAATGACCCCTAAAAGACTGCCTCGTATCAGTATTAGTGAAGCGAGTGGAGTGAAATGTAAAAGGCAGAAGTCAGTGATGACCCTGACAAAGAAAGTTTTATAGTTAGAGAAGATAAAAGAGGGGATGAGTGCTGCCGCAGCTGGTCAGTTGTTTGGTATAGGTATACAGTAGTGCACTAAGGTAACATAAGTTGCTATTCGCGGTTTTGCCAATTCGCATCATTTCTTGGAACCTATCCCTCGTGAATGGCAAGGGTCTTCTGTATTATGATATACTGTGTGTGTGTATACAGGGGTATATAATATTTGTTAAAATTTCGAATTATGAGAGATATTTATGAAAATGTATGATGCACATATTGCCATGGGATTCATATCCTATAGCCCACCTCAATGTAAACAAGTACAGAATATATGTGTGTCGGACCTGTGAGTCAGTCAGTTTACGGCGCAAGTTTTTTCCACTTGTTTTTCCACCATTGCCTAGTGTTTGAGCCATTATGTCTAATAACCTTAACTCTGGTACTGTATTTAGAAATGCTTAAATATTTATTGGGGCAGATTATTATTTTTGAATTATGGGGGTTTTGCTGTAATGGAGTAACAGAACTTGTAGTTTTTTAATAGTGCATGTAAATGTTTCTGGACTGTGTTAACTGATGATGTGTGACAGTGCTTGCCATATTGTCATCTATTGAGGGCAGGGAAAACTTTGTTTTCATTAGCTGATAGATTATCTTTGTTTTCAGCAGATAGATTGTCTTTGTTATATATTTATTTACTTAACATTTAAAAATATATAATGCTTCTCTAAGAAATAAACCATTTAAGACATACTTAATGGTCTTCTCACACTAGAGGTCACAGTCTCAAGTTTAAAAAGACAGATTTTCAGAGTTGTGAACTGTTATTCAGTAAAAACCTGCCAGAAAATGTTTTAACAGAGAGTTATGAACTGTTGTACAGAATGACCTGCAGAGAATGTTGTTACAGTGAGAACTGTTGTAATAACCTGCATTAGCACAAATGGTTAGTATGGTTTTCTCATTAAGGCCTATCGCACTCTCCCATTTAAAAATGTTCAATCAGTTTCATTTTCCTCTCTAACAAAATAGATTTTCTTTGTCTCTTGCTACTGCATCACTATTGTTACTTCTTGCCTTCATGGGGGGTGAGGGTTAATAAGGGAGAAAAAACACACCAGTGTATGACAAGTCACTACAAGATGCAAGTGATCCAAAGGACAGTCAGAGATAGACTGGTGTGGTGAGCCTTCAGAGGCAGGCTGGCATAATGAAGCCATGACACGTTGCTTTTGCTGTTAAACTGGGAATATTATCATGTTAAATAAACAATTTCCTTAACTGGTTCCTTGTGCTAATGTGAATTTGTGTTAAGTGGGTACTACTTGTACATTATGATGGAAATAACATAACTAGGAATCTCTGGTAAACCTGAAGAGAATGGTGGTGAGGTCAGAAACTATATTGGGCAAATGTGTGCTTTTATATATTCATCAATGAATATCAATCTTTTCTTAAAAAACTTGTGGTCTTAAATCTTTAAACACTCTTGACTCCATCGTCAAAAATGAGATACATCTTAAATTGTACAAGGCAACAATAAATGGAGTGGATAATATTTTTGAGAGATGAGGTTTACCTGGCAAATTAAGTCATTTTTATTTTGCCTTTGTTTTCAATTTTGTAATTCTGATTCATTCTCTTAATAATGTAAAGTTTGAATACAGTCTCCACAGAAATATTAAATAGAACAATTGGAGATTAATCCTGAAATCCTGCTATGTAGTGGAGCTAAGAGCCAGGGGACCCTCATGACACAGGCTGTATACTGAGGAACTGGGTACTCTATCCTATCCATAGTAAAGCAAACCATCAATCATCCCTGCCTCAAATGAGGGGGACTTGATGCAACAGTTGCCATCTAAAGGCCAGAATATCTTCTTTGAGCCATATCTGCCCAGTCAGCACACTTTCACCATCTTTAATTTTATGCTTAATCCTTCATTTTGGAATTTAGTTCCAGCTACCTAATCAATGAAACCAAGGGAGGAGGAAAGGTATCCAAGCTGCATCACTTGGGGCTCGGCTAGAAATGCAGGACTAATCATGAAATCACTTTTCTAGCAGAGCCTTTACCCTGGTACCTCTTGTAATACAGGCAGCCATTTTGAGTGCTCATTGTTTTCACACAACTCTCTTATATTCATCCAAGAGTGATGTTTTAACCCAAATGAGTAGAGTCTCTTCCCTCACCCTTACATCCATCTGCTTCCAATGGAGGAATTTAGTGCAGCAGTTGTCCTCTAGAGACAGGAGGTCTTTTAGTAGCCATGTCTTACACATCAGCACATTTTGTGTCAAGAGCTATGGTTCCACCATCTTGTTCAGGTCAATCCTTCAAATTTGATTTACTTCCTAGCTAACTAAACCATAAAATAGAGGAAGGAGGGTGTCCGAGCTGCCTGGCTTACAACTCTGGTCAGAAAAAAGGATATGAGGATTAATCTTCCATATGTGGCTTCTCGTAATTCACAACAACTAGGCAAGAAGGAGGAGTTTCATAAAGCTTCAGAATCAATATGACAAACTCTCTCAGGAGAGTTCACCACTTCTTTTTATCAGTCATTTATAAAGTCCTTGAGACTATCACTGAACCTCCAGTCCTAAACCATCAGTAATCCTGCAGTGACAAATTGGTAAAATCCCATCCTATATGTAAACCATGTGCCAAGCTGTTCAATAAGAAAAGGAAGAATTCACAAAGAACATAAATGGATACCCAGAAATTCCCTCAACTTGTCCAGCGCATCATCACCTCACCTAAAACTAATCTGTAACTCTTAAAGATTATTTGTAAGACGTATTAACTCAAGACAATGTAACCTAAATCTTATGAAAGAGTAATGACAGAAAATTGTATTTACCCAATTTCGGACATACTGTACAGGGAGTCTTCATTATACGTCAGGGATGTGTTCTAGATAAATGTGACATAGTGAAATGTTTTATAATGAGAAATTTTCCCCCATAAGAATTAATGTAATTAGGTGTACCATATATGCATTCCAACTTGTACAGTAATACCCCTTAAAAGCTCAGGATATCTTCCTGGAGAGAAAACTTTCAGCAAATCAGCTTATAAAGGGGTCATTATAAACATACTTTATAGTATTTGATATGGAGATACGTTCATAACATTATTTATTACCTTTGAGTGATACAAGATGGCTCGATTTTGCTACTTGTACACCTAACCACCGATCAGGGAATAAACCAGGGCATATGGAGATGCATTATACACTACAATATTTATTAACCCTCTGGTACTCCTGGCCATGATTAGAAATCTCACCCCCTTGCAGTCTTTTGATGCAGGCTGCATTGGTGATCCAGACCTAAATTGCACCCTTAGAGATGCTTCTGCCAACACACAAGGCTAGTGGGAGAAACTTATGAGGGTTGATAGGGCCGGTCCACTGTTCCTGCGTTTCTGCTTATGGGAGGGGTGCTCTTATCGTGATATACTGTACAGTTGAGTGGGAGGGGTTGAACGAGCATGGGAGTGCTTAGCGATGCAATTTGCATCGAAAGAATATGAGAGGGTTAAGTGCTGATAAATACACTAAAATATTATTTACTAAGTGGTGAAGACAGAGCCTGTGGTAAGCACCAACTCTCTTGAACAGTGACAACAACGGTACTTGAGAGACGTTGAGTGTTGGCAACATTGTTAGGGAGAACGGAAACGATCAGTTCTGTAAACAAGAGACCGGAAGTATAATACGAAGCAATAACTCATCTAGGGTCGAGTGTGTGAGTTTTTAGGAGTTAAGTTGATTATTTTACGGTAATGTTTTATTATCCTGCCACCAAATGAACCTAAATAATGTAGGAATTATGGTGAAATTGTATACCTGTATTATTGTTATAAAAGGAACGCGGGCCGATGAGTGCAGAGGACGAGTTGTCCTCTCAGTCCAGCCAGCACTCCCTCCCTCCCCTGCTATGTATTTTTTTTTTTTTACTCCATTTCTTTACAAGCATAACCCCCATTGTATAAAAACTGAACACGTTTATCTAAACTTCATTATTTGGTGTTGAAACACTTGTGTGATTTAAATGTCTGTGGTGAGGTATCCAGTAATCTGGCGAGTCATGATGTGTTGCTAAACTGCCTGCTACTCACAGCTGAATTCCTCCCACACAGAATATACCTCTACTCTCAACATTTTTCTTTTATATTTTATATTAATGAACAATATATAGTAAATCTTTTATTCATAAGGCACATTAGCACACTGAGATGACTTCTCTGCAAATTCTGTGGTTTATTTACATATGACAATGGCATAGTGCACAGTCGTGTGAGAGGTGACCGAAGTATTTTGGCATAGTAGAAACTTAACTCTTGTAAGCCACTTTTATTACTTATTATGGTTATTTTTACATTATATTAGATGTTTTAACACTATTTATGCTTTATATTTGGATACACACAGACTTAGCATAAAACAGTGGATGATGCAGATGACGTATATATGAAACAATGACGTATAATGAAAATTTCTTCCTCTATTTGTTCGTGACGTATATGTGAAATGACAAACTGTATATTGGTACAATGTATAACGAGGACCCCTGTACCAGGAAAAGGAATAGATATAAAAATAGGCTTGGAGGAAAGTGACAGAAGAAGAAACTATTTCCTGCTGGGTGAGAACGGAGCTATCAAGACTAGTTATATGAAACATATGAAGCTTCACCATAACCTCAAGTTCTATGTTACCAAAGCATTAGTACTGTAAAGAAAAACTAGGTACTCTGTATCTTTAAAAGTTAACATAACCCATCCCAAACCACAGTAATGTCAGAGGGGCAATAAATGACATTATAAATACTGTACATATTATCTAACAAGTCTGAGATTGCTTTTGTCCAGTCTCCTCCACACCTGAAGTTTCAACATTCCTCAACAGTGCCAGCTGAACATTTTTTAATTGGAACTAAGGCCAACAGTACAACAAATATAACATAATTTCACCTGGAGAAGAGACATACAGGAAGGGAAAAACAAAAATCCCATGACTTAATTCCCCCTCATAGCAGAAGAAGGAAAGATGAATTCCAATTCCTTAAAGTGGAGTATAAAGTTTAAAAGATGAAACATCTTGTTGGGGACAAAAAAAAACAAAAAAAATAAATAAATAATTAAAGAATGACACACATGTCCACACCTAACTATCCTACACCAAAGAGTGTTACAAGATCTCCAATCTCTATTTCTCTACCATTTTAATGCAACAAAATGCCTTATTTGGAGTCAGGCCACCTGTACCTTGTATACCCATCCCTTGATGTAAAAGAGGGGGCGATTCTAGAAAAGCTAATTTATTGTGAATTAATTTAGTGAACCAAATTTTTCAATTATAAATATGGTAATGTTCCAGACATCCTCCCTAAAACCCAATATTCTCATTAAGGAGAAACAAAAAATACTACAGTGTACTGTACGTATACATTAAGACTGCACAAGTACCAGGTAATACTGTACAGGTACATTTTCTCCTATAATTTCTATAAATATGTTTTTCACTCTGCTTGTAATCTTTACTGATAGTGAAGGTGACTGAGCCCCTCAACTTTCAAGCATGTGAAAATTCCTCTGAATTGAGCTAACACTTAACTTTCTGATGTTAATCGCACAGCCAATTAATGTGGCTCTTCTGCCACAATCAATGTGTCTAAATATATGCGACTTGGTTTCCCGATTAAATGTCTTTCAAGGTTTATTCAAGGGAATTCTTTAATTGTAAGAACATTTGCAGAATATTTCAGATGTGCCCTGATCCCAAATAAACATAACACATATAAACTGAAAGAGGGAAAAGGAGACTTCAACTGTAAATGCCACATGTGCATTGACATCAGTCAGGCTGCACCTCCTGATTCTCTGAGACCTGCAATCACATGCACCTCAACCACAGGGAATATACACCATGATCTCCCTCAATTTGTTCGATGCAAGCCACACCTTATACATCTAAAAAAAATTGGTGGTACAGTACAGTAAAAAGTAAATAGCTTATCTGTCAATTCATTTACACAAGCCTCATTTAAAGCAAGGGAAGCCTTCATAAACTGGTTAAACTCAAGTAGTACCAATCCCAACAAGAGAATCATCACAGCAAACCTATGAGGAAACTCTCCAACCCTTCCTTAAGTATCCATTGTAAACTTAAATACTTAAAAATTTCCCTATGAGAAAGTTAACTAGAAATCTGTTCCATCTTGAAAAATTTGCACTTTCTGAGTATCTTGACTCACTATTTCACAGAATGAACTCAAAATCAACCAGTCATCCATGTAGAAAATAAAAAAAATATTCTACAGATCAGATCTAACCTGACACCTGAAAATTATATGAAGATCCTCTAAGCAATTGTAGATTTGAATGATTTTTGCACAGGAAATATATCTTGTCCAAACATAAGGTCAAAAGCTTCCTAAATCTCATGTACATGGCTAACTTAATTCAAAATCACCTGCTGGTCCTTAGTCATCGATATGATTCAGAACAGACTCATTCTCCAAATGGATTCAACAAGTTGTCTTAGGGACATGAAAACACAAGAAAAGTGAATTACAGGTATTACATTTCAATGTTTGTATTAAGTTCCCTCTTAAAAAGTAAATCCTGTAAAATGTCCAACTCTCAAATATCTGGAACCCAAAGGGTAGGCAGAGTTTTCATTTTCCAGCCCAAGTGTGGAAGAGAAAAGGTAGTAGAAGTCCCTGTCAATCATCCCTGATGTTTTACAAAGGAGTTTGATGCTCACCTTTTGCAGTAAATAAGTGATATGGGGTGAGCTGATTTGATGCATTTGCTCTCAGAGCCAGTCTGCTAAGGACTAAATTTCAAAATGGTGGACTGACCTTCAATTCAAAGATGAGTGACAGTAGCCTTGGCATGAGCTGTGATGATTGGAAGAACATTACTCAAAGAGGACCTTCTGGCCTCCAGATAGCAACTGTTGCACCAAATACCCCCACATTTGATGCTGATGGTGAGGGACAAAACATAGCAACACCTTGTATTACTGGAGTGAGTAAGGCCCCAATCTCCCAGTAAGAAGCCTGTATTATAAGAGCTGCCTGGCTTAAGGGTATAGGCTAAAAATATTTACATGATGAAAATCAGTATTAATAACTACCGGTTTATAACATTCCAAAGCTAACGCACAGTGCATTCACAACCTATCCTGGCAAATAAAGTGTGTTCATATCAAGCAATATATGAAAACAACAATATACAAACATACACACATATATATTATATATACATATCTATTCTACAGAATAATTTTGATAAGGCAACTACAGCACCACAGATTACAAGCATCATTCTCTTAATCAAGATTCATAAGACTACCATCATTGGGTACACAATTTCCAATGTTAGGGAGCACTGAAAATGTTTCTAATATATATTATTTAAAACTATCAGTAAGTCTAGCACCAAAGGAAGCAGTTTGAGATGGATTTTACTTCATATAAAGTGAAGTTTAAGTTAGTACGACAAGAAATGGAACACACACTGTCAAGACTTGGGTAGTTCCTCCGGGAAGCTGAGAGCGTATCTAATTATCATTAAACTCAATACGAGAGTTTATTGGTATTACTAAGACAATAAGTCAAAGAAACCAAAGACAAGTAGTCATTCGTGATCTATACATCATGAACACCACTTACTAGGACGAAATAATTATAAAAAAAAATTACAAAAATAAAATAGAATAAACAGGACACTAGAGAAACAATCATACTTGGAAAATAATCGCAAATGGAGAGCACAGTTTTATAATTTGGTAGAGCGAGATTGTGGTTCTTGGGCTTTACTCCTTGAGGTGGATGCTGCAGCAGTAGGCTCTTCAGGGTTGATAGGTAGACCCAAGGCCAGTCGATGCTGCACCATGCTACGCCAGATACGTAGCTCAACTCCTCCTCTGTTGGATCAATAATGAAGGAAGTCGTGATGAACTTTCCCATAAACAATGAATTAGATTAAAACACTTGTCAAATTCTTTTGACAAACATTAAAATAGATACACAACATTCCTTTTATCTACAAATACTGATGCTTATGGTAGTTTTCTACCTGATCTTCACTAACAACTACTCACTGCAAACAAAAAACAGCTATTAACTCAAATTGACATTCATAGCTTTAAATTTGTTTTATGTGTACTTCAGAATAGTTGTATCAAATCATATTGTAGTAGGTCCTTGATAACCTGAACTAGTTGAGGGGATAAAAGGTCTAAAAGATTTTAATTTCTGAAAGATCCTTAGGTGTTCCCCAGAACCAAACATAAGTTGGATTGATCCTGAAACCTCTTTTTCTGTCAGAGCCTGTAGCCATGCAGCTTCTCATAATACTGGCTAGTTACTGGGGCATTCTGTCTTTAGATAACCCTAATATATTATCTCGGAAGTACAGTATTATCTATCTAGCTATACCACAATAATCGGTGAGCAGCCAATTCAGTACAGTATAGGGAATTTTTCGGTAAATAATTAATCCAAAAAACTCATCCAATAGACCAATACCAAACATTGTTCAGTATACAGTACTGTACAGTATATGAAAAAGTTTGGTATTTTTAATCCAGATAAATTGTCACCATACTGTACTGGATTTTTTTTTAATATAAAAAGGAGTTTGGTAACACAAGACTTTAATAATCAGTAAATATTATACATAATACTGTGCATCAAAGAATACATTGACGCACATATTGTACAAAAAGTAGCTCTGTATCACATAAACAACAACTTACCTGGCTGGTTGGTTGGTCACAGCTGGTTATCTATATTAACAGAACACCAGGAATTTAATACACACAATAACTCATCTGGAGTTGAATGTGGAGTTAAAACTGATTATTTTACAATATTTTTTCTTATTAACCTGGCAACAAATGAATCTAAATAATACGGGATTATGGTAAAAGTACAAACAGGGGTACTGTCATTTTAAGGGGGTCGCGGGACAAGAGGAGGGGAGTTTCCATTCAACCCAGTCAGCAACCTGCCTTCCCTACCATCTCTTCCAACACAATTAATTTCCCACTCCTCATTTTTTCTTATTTTATAGTTTTATGTTATATTTTCTTTATTTCTAACTTAAAATAGAGAATTACATTAAAGTACTGTTATTATATTTAAATATTTGAGACACCTGAGGAGGGGTTTGGTAGAGGGTATATCTCACCTCTGATCTCCCAGGGATTTCAGTTTTACTATCACTCATCTATTATTTTTTCCTTCTCATCCTGATCTATACCTCAGGCAAAAGCAATAACTGTACTCGTCTTAATGTTTCTCAAATAAAGAGACAAATCCAGAAGTGTATTTGATCAACAATATTGGACTGAACTCTGTGGCACTCCAACAACAAAGAGGCAGGTTCACATAACACTCCACTAACTGAAGTGTTTTAGGGATGATCCGATATACAGTACTGTATAAGACTGAAGGACAGATTGAGTGGATTCTCATGTGCCAAAAAGTTGAGAGATCACTAACTAACAGTGGGTGGCTGACACTATCAAATGCAGATGACAAATCAAGTAGAACCAGGAGGGAAGACTCTCTGGTACAAGTGTTGATCATTAAATCATAATAATTCTCGCACATGGCTGTTTCTGTTGGGTGAAATTTTCTGTGGGCTGACTGATCCAAAGGAACTGCCCAATTTTACTTCTGTAAATGAAGCACTTGATCAAGTATAGCATACTCCATAATTCTAAAGGAAAAAAGATAGATAGATAGATAGACTGTGCCATTAGGCACAGTTATGTGTTATTAAAAATCCTGAACCAATAGGTTAATAAAATGGGTTACATAACTCACTGACTCTTAATACAGCTGCTTCTCGATTTACGACGGGGTTAGGGACCCAAATCCAGGTCGTAAGTCGAAAATGTTTAAATAATACATAGAAAATCTAAAATGAGTGTCTCTGTTTCTTCTCAGCACCACAAAACTCTCACTTTTAAGCTTGCCAGCCATTTTAAAGGGAATTACAAACGAAAATTTTGTCAGTACACAGTGCAATCACCAACGTCGGGACTCGAAAATACGTAATTTGACAAAATTTTGGTACGACCGAGGCGGTTGTATGTCCGGGTGGTAATAAGTCGAGTAGGTCGTAAGTTGAGGAGGAGCTGTAGTATTACCATACAACATTCATGCTTCTTGAAGTTCTAAATGCTATCAAAGAGATACCCAGTTTGCTGATGAACCAAAACTTTTCTTCCATTATAGTAAACCATTCAAGTAAAGATGAGCTTTACAGTGGCTCATTAGTCTTACCTCATTCTTAACTTCTGCAGATCATCACGTCTCATCCACGTCAGAACATCCTCTTTGGTGTAGTCTTCAGCAAGAAACTGAAAAAATAACATTTATCCTATTACACTCACATCAACACTTATAGAGGTTGACCCTCTCTTATCTAGAAACCCTGGGACCAAGGTCATGCCAGATGACAAATTCTAGAGTTGTGGAGTAGTGAAGTAACTGTATTTAAGTAGATTTTGGGGGGATCTTCTTCATAGAAAGTACAATTTAGGAATAAATATTGTACTTTAACTTAAGTACAATGTTGCCAAAATGTGCCAAATATTAGTTCCCAAGTGGGGTTCACAGCAATAATTTAGGCGACCTGTGGTGTAATGGTCAGCATGCTTGCCTCGCAAGAAAGCGGACCCGGGTTCAATCCCCGGGCAGGGTGAAACTATGGGCAAGTTACTTTACGCCATTTGCCTCTGTTTACCCAGCAGTAATTGGGAACCTGGATGTTAATTGATTTGCGGATCGTGTTCCGGGGTAATGGTTAGCCAGTGCAGTTGGCGAGTTGTCCGGTCTTCTCGGACTATTCCTTGACACTGGGTCATACAGCTCGTTAACTTAGAGTGTGGTTGTTGTGTTGGCGATAGCTTCTACACCTTAACAAATTCACGCCTAGGTGGCCCTTGGGCCAGACATCCTCGTTACACGAGGGGCAACCATTATACATTATTATTTCAGGCGGTCGACAGTGGACTTTGAAAAGGTTGAAAATTTTCAAGAAAATATGGAAATTCTGAAATAAGGTTTTATTATTTATTTCGACTTGGCAAGGTTGAATTTGCTTTTTTCCTTTTCAATATGACTTTGCATTTGACTTTTAAATCATTCACTGGATGACTTCTATGTTATCATTGATGTAACAATTATGGTTATGTTATATAATATTACCTCTCTATACCACACTTCTATATACCATAGTTTGCAATACAGTGGAATCTTAATATTGTAAATATTACCCTGACTTAGTTTTCGATGTTGACAAGACAGGGCTCTATTAGAAAAGAAGGCTCTTAAAAAGCTTCATAGTTAGAGAGGAGAAACATGTGACTAGCTTTAAGACTGCTAAAGCCTGCCTCACCTTATTGCTTGGTGGCAATGTCTCAGGCGATTTGAAATTAAAGTCTCTTCTTGTTTATCATTTTCAAACACCAAAGATAATGAAAGGGTAACGATGAATGTTTTTTGTGAATGGTTCATCCATCACTTTTGTCCAGCTGGTGAATGTTATTTTCAGAAATCTACCTCTGGCAACAAAGTTTCTGATGACGAGGTGGCTTTTGTGAACATATCCACTTCATTGTCAGAGGTATACCTGTATTAAAAACCACATCATCTCCACCAAACAACCACATCATCTCCACCACACCCTCAAAATCTTCACTACACATCCACATTATATCCACTTCACCTCAAACTGCACAACCTGGGAGGCTACACATGCCACGTACAGTCGCCTGAAATTATACCTGGTACAGTGGCTGGGGCATTTTGTGAGATGTGGCAATACTGTGTTTGTTTACATCATATTAAAACTCCCAGAATGGCCCTATGGAACATCACAATTGTAACCATATAACAAACACAAGCCAGACCAGACTGCACATTATGTAGCATAGGACCAGCATGGTTTAAGTTGAAAGGGAAAGGTATGTTTATAAAGAACCAGATCCCCCATTGTATATGCCTTGCTGTGAAGTGTATCATGCTCCAAAGAAGTATCATGAAACATGTAGATGCATACAAATAAGTAGTACAAAAGTTTTAGAGCAGTAGTAGATAATTATAATGTATGTTTATATAAAAACATCGTACAGTATGCCAGTGCAGTATTTACACGTATGGTATTATGAAGGGCACCCTCAGCTATGGCCTTGATTGGAATTAATTATTTTCTAACTTGAATAAGATTTTTTCATAAGGTTAAGATGATTTCTTTAAATTAATTAAAATGCATAATTTTCTGACATTTCCATTCTTGTTTATAATATCTGAGTTCAGCCTTAGAATATTAATTCAGATGAAAATTACCAGGACACATTAACTTACCTTATCAATAACATCACGATCTATTGATAGAGATTGCAGCCACTTTACCAACTCCATGTCTATATTGCGGGAGGACACATGGATCATGGGGGGCTCTTGAAGTGAGGAAGATGCTGAAGAAGCACCATCCTCAGGGTAGTTGCTCTGGTGAGAGAAAGATTGTAATGAAACTGATTTCTGAGTCTGGAAGTTTTGCCTTTTGGCGAGTTATTAAACATATACAGTACCTACTCCCCAATTGTAACCTCTGACCTCTAGTATTTATGAGGGATACTTTCATGGGGTTGAAATCCATGTAGTCTATAACTCTTCTTTTTTGGTAGAGTACACATTGTATCTCTCTCTCTCATGCATACAACTTTTCACCTTTCCAAATTTCTAAATTTTTTACAATATCTTTGCCCTCTCTTCCAAAATACCCAGTACAATCTGTTCAAAACTTTCAGGTTTTGGATATTAATGGTTTTTGAGTTTGGGATAAAATATTTTTGTCCTCACTTAGCAATTTGATGAGATGGCAAAATTTAAACCCATAAAAATCTGACGAGAGACATGAAATGTCACACTATACTTTATTATGTTTGCTGAAAGAAAATGTTAGAATATTAACCCCAGAGAAAAGTATGACACTGAAAATGAGTTGTTCCCTATAATTGAGGCAATTTTAATTAAACCCTCACCTCTGCTATAACAGTGTCAGCACTAGACACAGATTCCATAGTACCAACAGATGAGTCTGTCTCTCCAGTAGCAGTTTCTTCTGAAGATTGATGACAAGAACTCTTTTTGATTTGGCTGTCCTTGCTCTTTACCATCAAGTTTTTATTATTACTAACCAGAAGCAGAGGTGGCAATGAAACTCCCAACTGGTCTGCTAGATATTGAGTTTGATCACGACGTTCAGAGATGTACATTTTCAAGAGGTCACCATATCGTTTCTCCGACAGGTAGAGCTCCTCCAGCAACCTAGTTGAGTAATATAGTATTAGTGGACACATTTAAAACACATTATGGATCACAGTTAAGAGAAAATTTAATCTTGGCTCAACTACTATACAGAAATTAATAATTACACTCATCCCTAAATGTTTGTGGAGCATACATTCTATAAATGGTAGCGTATAAAAAAATCCATAAATACCAATACAGTAGAACATCAATATAAAGCGATTCAATTTAAGATTATTGATATAAAGCGACGCCCACAATTAAGGACAATGTTTAAATTTAAAGCAAATCTTTCCTATTTTGCACTTGTCAATCTGGTGCATCATATTTTAAAATTCGCGCCAAATGTTTCTCTGAGTACACTACACTGTCCTAAGGGCAAAGCTGTACTGTACATGTACTCAAAATAATATACTAAATGATTACTAAAATTTTTGTCAAGTGCAAACTACAGCATGATTATATTGAAATTAATCACTATCTTATAAGAATTCCAGCAATGTAAATTATATTCTCCCCGGTCACTTCTGTGACATTTTATAAACAAAACACAAATACTCAATCTAAATGACATAAATAAACAAATAAATACTTCACTAGACCTTCAGTGCAACTGTCAAACATGTCACTTCCCCTTCCTTCCTCCCTCTCCCCCATCTTCCCAGCCAGGGTTTGGTGGTTTTAGGCTTCCAGTTTTTTCTTTTATAATATCACAGACTAAAGTTAGGAGAATATAATTTGCATTGCTAGAATCCTTGCAAGACAGCGAATAATTTGAATATAAACGTCATATATCTTGCACAAGAGATAAAAATTTTTGCCCTTTATAATAAAATTAATTAGAACATGTCAGTTCAGTGACATTTTATAAGAGAAAAACTTAGTCACTCTTAAGGACAGATAAATAAATAAGCACTAGACCTTGGCATCAACTGTCAAACACATCACCTCACCTCCCCCTCCCCATCAGCTGTTCACTAGTAAACAGACCATTTCACATCCCATAATTTTAGCTGTGTTGATTTATGAGTGTTTGTTTTAACATAATACTACAAAAAACAATGATTTTTTATTCTAGGAGATGGGCTGAGGTGCATCTGGGTAGACTGTCAGTCTTTTTAGTATTTTGTGTTTCTCTCAAGTACCAAATTAAATTATTCCATTGAAAAAACACTTCGATTTAGTGCGAATTCGGTTTAAAGCGACCTCTTTTGGAACGTATCTTGTGTTATATCGACGTTCTACTGTACAGGTATCCCTCACGATACTGTACAGTACTGGTTTTTTTTTTTTCAAAAGAGAGGCAATATTGTATTTAATTTCCTGATGCACTCACTAACTTATTGGGTCACATTCATACTCTGCAGAAACAGGACACAAACAAGGACTAGATATTTAAGGAAGAAATATGTTACAAGATGTCTAAATCAAACTAACCGAAGATTCTCTGTTCTAGTAGCCTGCAGACTTTCTTGGAGATGATGGCAGTGTTTAGAGTGATGAAAATCATGGAGTAACTTGGCTGACTTTGTGGAATTGATGGTGGAAACTCCTGAAGTACTGCCTTCCTCAACAAGATCTCGAGGTTGATCTGGACCAGCTGCCGGTACACCTGCACTTCCCTCGCCATGACCAAGCAATATATCTTGTTCTACACACACGAAAAAAACAAATATCTAGAAACATTAATCATATTGAATAAATAATTGCTGGGTGCTTATTCCACATTATATATTACAAAATCTTCAATAGAAAACAAATATGATAGAGAAAATTATTATAAGGTCAAAAACATAACGGGAATAAACAAATTTTATGTGCGTGGGAGTAGTGTGGATCATCAGAAGGGTAGAGGTAGGGGGTTAATGTGTCAATAACTCAGCCACCCGCCAAGATGTGAGCTAAGTTCTTGTTATTTTTAAACTTGAAATTTGGGGTAAATATTCATAATTTACATTTATTTATTTTTCAATTGTTACATGCCCACACAATTGTTCATACAGAAGGTGAAAAAAAAAATTCATAAGGTCAAAAAAAAAAATTGCTTATGTGTGTATCTGAGGGATTTAACACACATATGGTGGGGAAGGGGGGGAGAGGCGTGATGGATTTTGGCTTGCTGTCTCATGAGTATTGACAAGATTGCCAAATGGCAGCGGAATATTATTTCTTTCTTTTATTTATTATTATATTTTTATTTATTCCTCACATTTACCGGTACATTATATATTATTTTATGTACAAAGAATAGCTTCTTCCACACGCAAACCATTCTCTGGACAACGTGACACAGTTTAGCTGCTTAGCTTGGCAGTCACTGTGTATGGGCAGAGCCTCCTTCACATCCCACGTGGGTCACACGTGTCACTCCATTCCAGAATTGCGTTATCATACCTCGGAATATTGCGAGTTATTGCACATCACTTTTTCATGTCAGTGACTGACACCACGGGAAAAGCATTTGGGTAGTGACAATCTTAACCCTTAAGCCCCAAGTTAGGGTGCTGCTGGCAGTACCCCCCCCCTCTTCCGGGGGTAAATTGAGAAAAATCAACTTTTCCTAAAATAATTTTTAGCCTTTTTAAATGATAAAACAATAAAAAATATGTAATAAAAACTATGTAGTGACCCTCTAGAAACTTCCCTGGCAGTGCGGAGGGAAGGAGATAAGGGGACAGCTTGTTGTGATGGTGAGCGCTCCTGGTCACCTACGCACTTACCAGCTATTTTCTGCTTGCCTCTGTGTCCGAGGTGGCCAATAATGCATATATTTACTGATCATAATACTTATTTGCTATAAATAATTCATTGAGAATATTTTATTTGCATTATTTTTCATAAAAATGATTGGCAACACACACGCATTATTTTCCAGTAATGCTACGCTACAATACAACTACTGTACACTACTTTTATCAATAATACTTTGATACAACATGATAAAATGACCAAACAATGAAAATGAAACAAACAAAAGTAGGTAATTATGTTCAGGAAGCTTCCCTGTGGCCGAGCGTGTGGCGTGACAAGCAAATACTTGTAGTCGCACTGGAACCTGATAACCCGCGCTGGGCATTTAAACAGTGGTGATAAATGGAGCACATTCTGAATGTCACCCAGTGCGCACTAGTCAAGCGTTCTGGAATGTCACCCGGGGCATAAGGGTTAAAGCTGATCTTAGCCATCGCACAGCAGTGAGTGGCGTTAATTTTTAACATTATAAAACTGATGGAGAGTATATATAGATACATCATGTAATGGTCATTGCCTGTACAGTATTCACTATATTTCTTACCTGGAGATAACACTGTTATGGCGCAGTGGACAGCACTACGTATTAAGTCGTCAAGGGCGAACATCCAATGTGGCTTAATGCTGTGACTTTTCAGCACCTCATTTACCTGATAAAATATTAATCATTATGATGTCATTCTAGAATAAAAAAGATGTTCACAATTATTGAGCCCTAAATACACTACAAACTCATGAACACAAAATGAGTCTGACACACTAAGAACAGACATAAAAACTTAAATTTCATAATTCTCTGCTCATTATACAGTACAGGTACTGTATGCAGTAGAAAGTCGATTTAAAGCGATTCAATTTAAGATTATCGATTTAAAGCGATTCAATTTAAGATTATCGATTTAAAGCGATTCAATTTAAGATTATCGATTTAAAGCGACACCCACAATTAAGGACAATCTTTTAATTTCAAGCGAATCTTTCCTATTTTGCGCGAGTCAATCTAGCGCATCATATTTAAAATTTTGCGCCTAATGTTTCTCTGGGCACGCTATACTGTCCTAAGGGCAAAGCTGTACTGTACATGTACTCAAAATAATGTACTAAATGATTACTAAAATTTTTGTCTAGGGAAAACTATAGCATGTTTATATTAAATTAATCACTATCTTTTAAGAATTCCAGCAATGTAAATTATTTTCTCCCCAGTCACTTCTGTGACATTTTGTAAACAAAAAACATAAACTCAAACTAAAGGACATAAATAAACAAATAAATACTTCACTAAACCTTCGGCCCCAACTGTCAAACATGTCACTGTCACTTCCCTCCCCCCCCCCATCTTCCCAGCCAGGGTTTGGTGTTTTAGGCTTAAAATTTTTATCTTATATAATGTTACAGACTAAAGTTAGGAGAATATAATTTGTATTGCTGGAATCCTTGCAAGACAGGGAATTATTTGAATATAAACGTCATATATTTTGCACGAGATAAAAAATTATGCTCTCTGTAATAAAATTCTTAAATTAGAACTAAAATTTTTATTTCTAATGCGAACCACTACCCCTCCCTCACTAGATGCAGTCCTCCACATGTGCAACAACTGTGAACAACTCTGTTTGTTCCGTATTGGCCTCTTTAGTCACCTCAAAACTCACCAACCTAGGTGACATCCTTAATAACTCATATCATTGTACCATTGCTGGATGATCGTCATACTCGATTCCGAGTGACAGCAAAGAAGGCGTAGTAGTTCGAGAAAATAACAGGTGGGATGGTGTGGGAAAAAAGCACTGAAAACACAGGAAGGGGCTGGCCCTTCAGGCCTGGATGCAAACAGTTGGAGAGTCATCCTCAGCACTAACAAGTTTGGTGGCGTAGCAAGTGATCTCTGCACTGCCATCGCCGCCCTTGCAAGAAAGCTAGCAACCTCGTGCTGCCACCACCTCCCTGCTCTGACGGCCTGCCGCCTCATTCCTCTGGATAAGAATCCAGGATGTAGGCCTATAGGGGTGGGGGAAGTGCTGAGGCAGATCACCGGAAAATGCATAATGGAGGGAACCTGCAAGTTTGTGCTGGCCACCAGGCTGGAGGGGAAGCTGCCATTCATGCCATGAGAACCATATTTGAGCAGTGTGATTGTGAGGCAGTACTCCTGGTTAACGCTTCCAACATACTCAACCGCAGAGCCACACTGCACAACATCAAGATCAAGTATCCAAACTTTGCAATGTATGTTGAAAACACCTTTAGGAATCCATCAGACCTTTATATAGTAAACAACAAGGCTCTAAGAGGGGATACTATCATACAGTCAACCGAGGGAATAATGCAGGGGGACCCTGTTGCAATGGCAATGTACGCAATAGGCCTATCCGTGCTCCAACACACAAAAAAATTTGAAAAAAACTGCGGTTAAGCAAGTGGCGTATGCTGATGACCTTACAGGAGCAGGAAAAATGTAGGACATCAAAAAGTGGTGGGACCTGATACCATCACGAGGCCCACAAATAGGGTACCACCCAAATGCCAGCAAGTCCTTCCTCATTGTGAAGCCAGAACACTATGAACGGGCAGTGGAGGTGTTCGGTGGAAGCGAGGTCAAAATAACAAAGGATGGCCAAAGACAACAAGGTGCAGTAATCGGCACGAAGGACTTCAAGACCGAGTACGTAACGGGAAAAGTAAATGAGTGAGTCAGGGAAATCCAAGCTCTGTCGGATATTGCTAAAAGCAGATCCACATGCGGCTTTTGCGGCATTCACCCACGGAGTCAAGCTTCGCTGGAACTACCTGATGCGCACTATCCCTGATCTGATATCGGACCCCTCCTCCACCTTCTAGAAGAAGCCATCAGCGTCAATTTCATTCCCAAATTAGTGAAACTTCTTCACTTAACCCCAGCAGAAAGGTCACTCCTTGCACTACCACCGAGACTGGGAGGAATGGGATTGAACTGGCCCAGTAGTCAGGTTAATTGATCATTATGTTCAGCAGTCAGTTCAGAATGATAATCCTGCTCGTGTCTAAGATTTACTAAAATGCTGATATACCTCATGCTAACTAAAAAGTGATAATTTTTTTAATTTATTAATGTTATATTATACCTATATATCACACTTTACATCACCTCCTGCCTATTATCATGACTTCTCTACTAAGCTACTTAAAAGAGAATTAAAGACAAAACAAAACACACGAGTTATACTTACAGCATCTTGAAAAATGTAAAGTGCAAGATTTATTTGGTTGAGAGCCTCCTCAAAATTAATTTCTTGTTTCAATGTAACAAAAGCTTGTTCAATTGATATTTTTTTGTGCTCAGGAATAAAGTCGCGTAACCCAACCATGATGTGTAGAAGGTGTTCCTGAAACATGATAACATTAATATTTGAGGGAATCATGTACAATACAGTGATATCATATTGACAAATACTGGCATATGAAAAAAGAATTAAAACTGAAATCCAATTTTATGGCTGAGCCTAGAACTAAGTACCGTATATACTCATGAATGAACTTATCTCGTGCACAGTTCGACCTCTGATTTTGATAAAGAAGCCAGAGTACAGTATTTCATATACAGTACTGTACCTCATGTATAATTCAACCCTACAAGTTCGTGTACACACTGTGTCCCAATCTAGGGGACGCTAGCTGCCTGGCCTCGTCGTTTGCTATCGCAACACAGCCCCCCAGCTAGGACGCTACTTCACTACCTCCCCTAGCAATGATATCTACTCAGTTCTGTGTGATGGCACTCAAAATTGTATATTGATGGAATTTTTGGTGTAAGTTTTCAGGAAATTGTGGGAGGTGTTGTAGGATGACAGCTATGTAATAAATACTTTGTATAATTTATACAGTATAATAAATGATGGTGTTGGCATGTTTTAATTCTTGTTAATGTATCAATATTAATAGTGTAAACACATTGAGTGTCTACCGGGATGGATGGTCGCAAGGCATTTCGATACACAGTGGCGCTGTCTCTTAACACACACTTATGCTGAGTGGCAGGTCTTGCTGTCATTCCTTTTATATGGTGACATGACAGTGAACATAATGCCTCTCAGCTGTAAAGGCCCCACTCTGTCACCATCATCCAACTTGGTAACATTTTTTTGCACCATTTCAAGAAAAATTTCTACTGACTGGTGTGTGTGAGACTCAAAACGACACTATATCAGACTTCAGCGACTTATATCACATACTGTTCCCTAATTATGAAATGACTTTATATCGAAACAATGCTGTTTGGTATGAGACATATCAGCGAATGCCTGTATCGTGAATGAGGTTCTGCTCTTCTTGTAGCAACATAAGAAAGAATCTAGGGGTATGGTAGGCAAGCCCAGGTAAAATGAGCTAACTGGTAAGGTTAACCTACCATAAGCATGTACTGGGTAGCTATCATTCACCGTAAATAACCCACAAAAATGCATGAATTTTAATCCACATAAGCACAGAAAAAGGCCATAAAACATTGATGGTTATGATGATGATAATGGTGATTCACACACATGAAATGTTTTACATGCCATACAGTATACAAAATATTTTAAAGCAATACCTGAGTTATGAGGAGTTTATCAGTGCCTAATTCATGCTGAAGTCTGTCATACCAGATCTGTGTAATTTTGTGCTGATCATGTACAAGGACCCGTGTGAGAGTCATACGCCGCTGAGAATCCTTTTTCAAGAGGTAGAACCCATCTTGCTCCTGTAAGACACAACCATATACTTCATCAATGAAATTTTTCAGGCACAAAACATAGGATTAAAGAATTAAATCACATTTTAAGGCTGTACATGCCATTGGTGAGTGACCCTTCATATAACAATACAGTCAACACTTCATGTGAGTGCCAATTCTATGTAATATAATAATTCTTCAAGATAATGCATTTACTATAAAATCAGTGACTCGTCTAGTTACAGCTTGAGAATTAGAAGGCATCCAGTAATGTACATGCTGCCCCTAATGGCTAATGAGTTGTTTGGGTCAGGTATTATAAAATCTCAGTGGGTCCCTGGGAAGATATTAGAAGCATAATGTGTTATCTAATGGCAGACCTTGCTGCCATATGGCATCACAAATATTGTGACCCAGTCCCAGGTTGCTAATCTGACTTTCTGCCTCATTTACACACAATTGCAGGGTCTCAATTGTTTCTCTTACTTTGACAACACAACATACATATATCATATCTCACTATTGATCTTTTTTTTATTACTTTTTATTATTTATTATTATTATTATTATTATTATTATTATTATTATTATTATTATTATTATTATTATTATTATATTTTTGCCCCCAGGCCCCGATGTGGGTCATTGACCTGTGCTCTGGTGGGCTAATCCTGTAAAACTAAAACAAAAAACATACCCAGTCAGTTTTTCAACACATCATAATCATGATACCCTATTTGATTAATTCTATGATAAACATTGGCATAACATTTACTTGCATAACTGTTATGTATCTGCAGTACAGTATAACACTAGCCACTCTGTACTGTATATAAAAGTTGTCCCTCCTCTCATCATGGTCACCTTACTCATGCTTCACTGAGAATTATTTTTCCGTTAACAAATACACTCCCTAATGTTAATAAAAATACTGAGGCATCATAATGAATTAACATATACCGATATATATAATCCAGGATCCTGATACATGCTGCAGTCTTCAGAATCAAAATAGTCCAAATCATGGCAAATATCATAAACAAGACATTGAACATGACTGGCCATAACTTGGAGCCATTAATTGTTTATCATGACTGCACAAGGGTTTTCATCAATAAAATGCCTTGTAAAAGTTCAAATTAATAGGCACGCAATATTATATTATCTTTACATCATTAGTTAAGAAAATTCATGTTACAAGTGTAACAAGCAAACGACTCATTACAATAACAAAAACAATTACTGTATAGTACTTCGAAAGGAATCAACAATCCAATGATCAATTTCAGAAAGTAAACATGGCAGACAGAGGCAGCTGTTCAGGAGAGGGGATGAAAAAACTGTAAAAGTGAAATTATGCAAAACATATTCCTCCTACATTTTTGTTAGTTTCCCAAGGTAAGAATTTTTTATCTTCTATGGAGAAATTTCCTTGGGTTGGTGCTATGGCTGGACCACTCTCATCAAATATTATTCTACTTTCCTCTTGAAGACAGTAAATGAAGGTGAATGTCGATACCACAGGCCTGTCATCCCATTAGAGATACTACTACTCTCTTTAAAACCTCAGAGAGATCCCCAAACTGTCTAAAATAAAATTTCGAGTCATTTTAATTCAGCATACACCAGAGAATTACTCTTAACTCTACCCCCCCCCCCACCAAGTAGCCAGGGATAAAAAATCCTTTTAAGACAGACTGGAATAAGGAGTGAGTGTTGCTTGTCCCCAGATGGCTCATCAGCAATATTCAAACTGGATAGTTAGCAAACTACAATTAATACTTGCAACACATAATAAAATAAGATTATTAAATATTAACACCAAGGACTGTGTAACTCAACTAAAAACCATTATATGATACTACACTAGCTGAAGTGATCACATACTTGTTCATGCCTCTTCCCTCCAGTGCCTGTGGGGGACAACCTTTGATTCTACTCTCTCTTTTAGGGTGTTAATTTTAAAAGGAAATGCATACTAATTATCAAATCAATCCCAAAAGCTTTGTGTTTTATATATACTGTACTCAAATTGCATGGTAAAGAATGGGTGACCATAAATTACCCTATATGTGTTAGCAGTAAACATTACCCCATCTGTCCGTGGCGACTCCACTTCTGGGGACAGCAATCCGCCACTTGATGACCTTCTTGTCATGAGGCCATCATCCAGGTCTGTACCAGTCATAACAGAGCTGTACAAAAAGTTTAATGTAAAGGAAAATTATTATTAGAGCTGTAACTCACTTCCTCTTTATGGCTACCACTAAAATGGAATTGTCCTTGAAATGGCACATTACTCCTCATATAAAAACAATTCATAAAGAACACTTATCATCACTTAAAATCACAGTTGTTGCACAGGTATAACTAATCTGTTAACTGTTCACTCACAAACATGTGTGGTGAATAAGTGAACCAAAAACTAATTACATAAAATTTCACAAAACAGAACTAAAAGATGAAATCCTTAAAAGTGGAGGAGAATCCAAATGACTTGTGACATATTCCAGACAGAACAAACCCTGGTACCATCCAGGGGGTTATCTACCTGTACCTTCTGGAGGTAGGTAGTACAGTTTGTCTCTTTTAATCCAACTCTCGTGTGGAGTTGATCAAGGGGAACATAAATGTATAACAGGAGAGTGGTGCAAGACAAATTTACAATATAACAATAGAAGGATAAGATAACAAGCTAAAATACCTAAATATACATTTTCATAGCCATAACATACAGTATAAGCAGTGTAGAAAGTGAACTCTTAGGCTCCACACTGATTCATAATGCTTCATAATAATTATCTGTGAATACTGTGCAAAGTCATCAGGTTCATTCATGTTAACATTATCATATGTGAAGTGACTCATCAATTCCTTATCTTTAATAAGTAGTTAATTACATTTGAATATAATATCATCTGAAAATTCTTGGTAAGAAAAATGGGTCCTGAAATACCTGGAGGCAATTGAAATACAGTACTTTTATTTCCTCTGGAAAAAACAAAAACATATGAAGATTATTCCAAAATGAATACATTTATGCACCGGAACATTCAGTTTTTCTTCAGACTGAAGTTTGAGAAACACCATTGTCCTGAGATAATGTTCTACCTTCACACTCATTAAAACATAAGTTCTAGTCCTGGATGAAAGGATGGGGCTAAAATGGTGTTATGGACTAATGTGTGTGCAAGACAGGTTATTCTATTACTGCTACACACTCCCATTAAGGAAAGCTATAGTCATAAAGCCACACAATAAAGAAAATGATGATTACAGTAAAACCAAATACTGCGTCTGCAACCTGTCATTGTTAAGAGTTTGCTGGGTATTGCATTAAATACTGTACTGTATTAAGACTTTATGAGGAGTAAAGCAAGATCTTAAAAGGAAAATTTTATGAAAATATGCTATTTAACATAACACTAAGACATGCCTGAATTAAGTGACTCGTGCCAAAACCACAGAAGTCACTCACCTTGAGTGTAAATAATGACATTTACCCATAGTTTTCATGCTCTCATAAGAGTCAGTTTTAAAGCTAAAGTCAGAGCCATGGAACAATTCCCTGTTATTTGGAAACATTAACAAATCTCACTTTCTTTTTCATAATACATTAATTTCAAATTATATTAAGATTTTTAAGCTTTTAAATTTAAAAAAACACAAATCCCATGTTTAATAATAAACTCATGTGTACAGCATTGAAATGAAGAAAATGTCATTTTCAATTTTAACTAAAAGCAAAATATTATAGATTTTTTTTATTTCAAGCAAAACCATCAAAGGAGTTTTAGGATTTAATATTATTTTATAATGGTGTGTTATTTACCTGGAATATGAGAGAGACGAGAGGTATGAGGAGGGGGAGGCTGGGGAGACACTGGGGCTTCCAGCTGTGTTGCATCGCGACCCATAACCATACCCCAACTCTAGGCTACAACACAGAGAGGCACCTATCACAAACATGCTGCCACTCAACAAGTGAGTCAAGGCAAGGATAAATGAGGCCACCTAAGTGGCAGGTTTTGGCTTCAGTATAAGAAAGATAAAGCATGGGGAAATACAGATGGTAATGTCTGGGTAAGAGCCAGTCAGGTTTTGATGCAAAATTTGAATAAGAGAATAAAGCTAAACAGTCGAACCTCAGGCAGATTCCAGTATTGTATTGAGAAGAAAAAATAAAGAGGCAAAGAACCTAATCTTATTCACAAGTTAGTTTGTGGTGAACACAAAGAGCAAATTTTAATTTAAGGAAAAAATTAAAGAGTAGCATAACTGTAAGTCAAGGCACAATTAAACCAAATAATGTAAAAATTAAGAATTGTCCCTGATATCCGGTTCTCTAACAAAGTTTTGAGTCATGTAGCTCTCATAGTAAAGGTTGGTGGCTGGACAATTTGGAATTATTTTCAGTTTCCCATTTATACGAGTCAGGGTGATTTGTTAACACCTTTGGGTATGTTAATCAACCTACCATCCCTATATTTTGGGTGAATTGATGCAACAGCTGCTCTTTGGGAGCTTGGAGGCCTTAAATGAACTGAATTAGTACAATATCAATGTTCCACACCCGAGTTTATTTCCGCCAGTTAGATTCCAGGACCAGGATGTCACTCATATCTTAATACCAGCTCAATAATCCATAAGCCAAGCCAACTAAAGATATGTGGCTCTTAAAAAGGCAACGAGACAAAGAGAAGGAAGCGATGCTACAAATGCTCCAGTGATTTGCCCACAGTTATCACAGAAAATTTAACTACCTGTTTTACGCCATCTCTTTATCTGAAAAGTTCCTAGGTTTTATCCTCAAATCTATGTGAAATATTATCCTCCAATTTTCAAGGTCTCAATAATCACTAAAAATGTTTCTTAAAACCTGTTGTTTTTGAGAGATAACCTCTCTTCTATAGAGACACTATGAGTGAAATAGTCTCCCCCTCACATAAATCATGTACAGTACTGTACAGTAAATAAAGAAAAAGAGTACCAGACCACCTGAGTAACGACAAATCTGAATAACGACGCAAATCTTGGAAAAACTTATTTAAAATTTCAAAAAAATGTCTTGCGTACCTTACGGGTCATTGTTATTGTTCTGGAGAGACACAACGTGCACCGCATGGTCCCGCCCACATCAAAACAACACAGTCGCGCTGCACTCAGTGGCATATAAATAACACACATTGTGAGAAAAATTCCCAAGCAAATACGTTCTTTAAGACCCCAAAGAGCAGAAAGCACCTTTCCATGAAGGTTAACTTGAAGTGCTAGCCACGGTCGACAATAAACGCTCTGTTCCTGAGATAATGCGCAAATTTGGAACTCTAAATTTACTGAAAGCATATAGTAAGTGTGATCCACTGAAAGTGAAAGTGGGTCCCACACACACTCACATAATCTTCACTACATAATACACATCACCAGGCAGCTGTGGCCTTGAGATGGCTATGCATGTTGCCACTGATTCATGTAATTAAACAGAAAAAGATGTGGGAAGTGCACGGGAATTGAACCACTGCCCCCTGGAACAGGGGGGTGAGCACTGTATCCACTCGACCGCCATATGCAGTACATGTACTGTAGTTTCAAAAAGGTTTATGAGTAACATGCTCATCTCATAAAATGAATACGTTTTACAATATAAAAGTTCAGTTTATATAACTCTGGGTGTGCAAAAAGGCTGTGGATTTCCCATCATTTTATATAATGTAATTATGTGGGGTATTGTACATTGCTAGCTAGACTAGGGAGAGTTCATAGATTACCCCTAATGACAATGCAAATTAGCTGCACATCCCCTTAATGGCTCACAAAAGATTGAATTATAAATTAGATGTAACATGCTAACTCTCCCAGGAAAATTGTATTGGGTTGATTTAATTTACCGTTGAAGTCCAAATAATATTTTTGCCTAAGAGACCCAGTTGTATATATTTATGTCATCTCCTGCATCCATCAGCCAACTGTCTTTGGATCAGCCCCATTACTTGGTAGGTTGAAGTACATGCATGAGAGGTGAGTGATATGCCAGCTTAACCTGGCCTGAAAACAATCCTTATGTAACCTATATCTGAACATTAAACAACAGTCCTTCAATTAATAATGGCTTGAACTATGGCATTTACTACTGACTACCCCATATGTGTCTCTAGTAAAAGGGGCTTTAGCACTTAACTTTTTGTAAAAGCAGTCAGAGGAGAGCTGTAATGGTACTCCACTCTAAATGACTAGCAGTTAAACAATACAAGTGATATATAAGTCCTGAATTCTACCTGCAGAGGTAAGCCTCAGCATGGAGTATGCTGTCCTGGTCAGGCTCAACACACTTAGACCTCCTCGTTCCCAGTGAGCAAGTATTGTATCAACTCATCTAAAATAAGGGAATTGTGTAATGGAGAGGGAAGAGTGATTGGTATACCTAAATGAGTTAAACAATCACCCTGGCTTACATATAAGGGGAACAGAAGGTACATCCAAATTCCTAAGTCAGCAGTTTGTATTATGACAGCTGCCTGGCTCTATGCGATTGCTAGAAAACCCAGATGACCACCAAAAAATATTATCCTTGATGATATGAATTAATAAAAATCTAAGTAAACTATACAAAAATTATCTACTTTATCCACGTATCATCTTTACCCCTCTCCCAACTTTGTGAGGTGAATCAGGGGCATAGAAACCGAAAATAAAAGGGTAAAATATTTGAATGAATGATGCACGATGTGTAGAAAGCATCAGGAAAGAATTAAGAAAAAGATAAAAATAACCACATACATTTGCTCATATACTCAACTTGTTTACACAGTATACAAAGGGAATCTCAGCTTCCATTATGAATTACAATTATTTATACAATATCAATTTACTGTGCATAATAAACTGAGTCCTTAGTAATAAGTTACTTACAGTCATAATAACCAAAGGAAGGATACAGTAAAGTCTTAAGTGTGGTATAACAGTAACTTAAGAAGGGGATTACAGCACCATAAGAACATCATGCCGTGCCATGAAGAGTGAACTTAACACTTCCTCAGTGACATACTAAAAGCCTTGAGTGGGGCATGGCAACATCTAAAGCAGGACGTGACAATCACTAAGTTAGATATAATATGGGATTTCAGTATCCAAAAAATGAAAAAAAAAATTACAGATTAAATTGAGAAATCCCAATCCAATTCTATGACTAAAGGGAAGAGTGAAGTGACCTGTGAAATTTCCCTCTTTCAAAACATCCCATGGCAGAGCTGCTATTCCCAAGGGGCTTTGCTATGCTCAAACCATTGTGCAGCATAACAGCTACTCGCAGTCAAAATCAGTGGTTAGCAAATGTGGAACCTCAGTTATGATTTGGATGTGCTTCTGAAAGTATACATACCAATATGGTCATTGAAACAAACACCTGCCCAGTTTGTATGACTTACATCCCCAGTAATAAACTTGGGTTTCTGAAGTTTAATCCTCAAAATTTCCCTGCAGTTTGTTATTAAATAAGACTGGGACAAAGAGTTACTGTCAAGAGCTACTGCCAGTAGCAAATATTTTTTTTAAGTGGTCTGCAAGTCATAAAGGTGTATTATTGTTTTATGCACAGTTGTGTCCCTAAATGGGTTTGATAAATCAAAATTACAGTATGTATCATAAATACATCATGTCATGGGAAAATAAGGGGTATGATTCAGGAATTACAAAGGCCATCTATGGCTGGAATTTTCACCCCCCCCCCCCATATATGGTACACTAAAGAAAAAAAATTAGACTCGACTTCTTGTTAATAAATTATCCAGAGTAAGAACTTATGAATCATATGCTACTTATTCTGAAAAACTGAGTCATGCATAGATGGAAGTAAACAGTTTTAAGAAACATCTTTTGTTTGTAATTTTCTCATTGATATCCATGTAAGAAATAAAGAAATCTAGCCTAGTTCTTATCTTATTTGTTAGCCACGACATTTTAAGCAATACTTTGGCCTAGTTATTAACTCAAACACTACAGGCAACCAAAAGCCTTCAACTTTTATTTCAATTATTTTTGTTCATGATTTTCAATGACAATATTCAAAGAATTAAAAGGTTAGTAAAGCTTTTTTACTGCAGCATAACATACAATCTTATATTACAGTACCTATGTCAACATTTTATGTCCATAAATTAATTTCTAAAATTATAAGCCAAATGTTTAAAAGCCCATTTAACAATTTTCTTTAGTCATGCTTGGCTAATATACTTCGTGTCTCCCCTGCTAAGAATGTCACAACCTATGAGATACAGACATTGTTTTTTTGTTTTTTAAATGCCAAAGACAGCAGCAGTGTCAACCATGTTAAACTTTCATGATCGGGTTAGTTTCTGAACAATTTGTTGATAATGTATCTGAGGTCACACTAGCTTACTTAACTGTAATTAAGAAGCTTATACCTTCATATCAACACAGATGGGTTTCAACATGCACTGTTTCATGCACATTATATTCCTTACAGACAACTTTCAGAGTACTGTACTGTACCTTTAAAACCTCACCTTTGCATGCTCAATTTACAACTTTTTAAACATGAATTCATATACCACTTCAATACTTTTTTCTTTTTGTAATCAGTTTCAATATGTTTCTCCAGCATAATGTATAAGTCTTTTGGTGTGACCAGGTTTAGTAGTCCAGGTTTAGTAGGAGCTGTACAATTAACTATATGCCCAAAGAAGAATTAATGGTAGCATGAAAGTGATTAAAATAATTTTTTTTTTTATAAGAGTCCACAAAGTAGATCTGATAAGAGTACGGACTGAAAAAATTGACTTGGAGATGATGACTAAATCTGTACTGGCATAAGTAATGTGGAAAACATGGAAGAAGTTCAGAATGAGGATGAAAGGACACTGAGGGAGTATGGGGATGAGAAGGGTGAATAAATGAATATGCTGTGATGGAGATTCTGACAGATCCATCCTGCTGTATAGTGGAAAAAACAAAACAATAGAGATACAATATAGCTTGTGATCACATGTAAAAATTAGTTTATCCATTCAAGTCAGATATATATAGCCGTACAGTGCAAATATACCATATATAAAAACATATAATCACCAGTAATGTTTAAAGGATTTTTTAGTTTTTCAAAATGTAAAGTAAATAAGATGTTTGGAACAAAAACCCAAAATCAACATAGACTGGTAAACTGAGCTATCAATGAAGACTAACCTGTCATCTGGTGAGCTTGCAAGTCGACCTTTCTCACCATGCAGTCTTACATTGCGGTCTGCAGGAACAGATATACTCCGTGAGAATTCCTGCTGGTTGGTTAGTCGCACTCCCTTTTTCTTTCTGCCCAGCCTGGAGGGATATTACATAACTAATAAATAAAACACTTCACTGAAAGGTGATTACCATAAGAAATAATCACAACATATATCCAAGATTTTTATCCATAAGATAAGGTACTGTAAGACGGAGATGAAAAGTGAAAAGACTTCAGTGAGGAATGTGAATGAGTGTATGGATATCACAGATATTATTCATTTAAGTAAAGAATAGTGTCATGATGTAACTGCAGAAAGGTACTACAGTAATTAAAGGGGCTCTCATACTGGGCAAAATTTCACCCATTCACTGTTCTCATTTCTTAGACCGTAGGCCTAATCACACCAGAATTTACCGCCCCATTCACATTCCGCCATCATTCAAATGAAAACAACAACAAAGATGCCCACATGTCAAGTTGGTGTCAGCTGTAGTCCCAAAAAAGGCTTATCAGACTTTATTTGAAAAATACATGTAAAAGAAGACGAATCAGGGGAGAGAAAATGTGTCTGGCTTCAGCAGCTCTTGTGCAAAAAATTCTGGTAGTTTCACAATGCATATTGTCAGCAGGTATTGTTGTGGGCTGTGGTTTGCTTGATATAAACAAATATCAAATGACTATTCAAAAAAATTTACAAATACCTGTGCATTACTTTTATAAGGAAAGCAATTTGCTGACACCATTAAATATTTCAAATTTTATTTACATAGATTAATAAAAATAAAAATAATTCATAATTTGACGAGCGATGTGTACAGTGATGTGAGAAAAAAAAAGACGATACAAAGCACTAATATGGAAGATTCACACACTTATGGAGTGAATCTCTGAATCTCTACTATATTTTGAACCCCACTGCATTATAATACTGTAACTCAAAAATATTAACGAGTCTCAAAAAAACTAATGGCTTGCAACACTTACTCAGTTAAAAATGGATCTTCTAAAAGTTGTGCAGCCATGGCTCTCTTTGTGGGATCTGGCTCAAAACATCGAAGGATGAAACTTCTTGCCCTTTCACTTAGTTCTTCAGGTATGTCTGGATGCATTTTATAAAGACCAACCTGAAATATAATAACAGATGTCCAGGTTTTCTTTCACATTCAGAGATGGATGAAGCACGAAACACATAAGACCTTCACCTAACATCACAACATAAAGTATGTGGTTGCTATATAGGTAAATTACTGTACTGTATTATATTGACCAAAAATAGCCATATGTAGTGTATGACGGCTTTGCCCTTCACGATTCTAACAGCACTAGCAGAGGTCACAGTTCAACACTACACTTTATTTTGGAGTTGGTAATGGTTGTCCTCACAGTCAAAGGTGGTAATCCAAGCCTGCAACCAATGTTTATCAAGTGCACCCCACCTTTGTAAAGCTTCACCACATCCATTTTCTTATCCAAACTGATGATTTTACGAACTCTTTTGGCTGTAGTATGTGCTAGAGTGCTTGTTGGTCATTATTAAGGGTTCTGAGAAAGTTTAGCAAAAAATATTCCCTACTAAGGTCAGACAATCACTCGACAACAGACCACATGTGACTGATTTGACTTGGGTTACACTCACAGCACAGTGGAGGTTACAGTGCAGCTTAGCACACAAAAACAATAAAATTTTTACCTTGTGAAAGTGCTTTTACATTAAAAAAATAAATAAAAATTATATATATATATATATATACTATATATATCATCATAATCTGTTAATGGCATTAATAAGCAAAACCAAACACAAATCTAATTAACATAAATTGAAGATTACCCAAATGTGATTTCTGGAAAAAAAAAATCTGTTCATTACCTGTGTCCCACAAAACTAACAACTACAAATTCCAAAATACTGCAAGGTAAATTGTCAATCCTCACTGATATAATGGCATCATTAAATTTACATATTTGATTAGGTGTTGCTATACCAGTATTAATGCAGTCAGAAAATATGTGCCAGAAAATTCTGTTTCATCACAAGACATTCTGGAAGTGCATGTGTCCAGTAACTCAACATACTAATATAATATTTATTATTTTTGCTTGTATAGTAGATTCATATATATTAATATTTTCCAACCATCTTCTGGTCTCCTTTGCCTACATTGCACAATTTATTCCACACCTGTTCCCAATTAGATATATGCTATGGCATCAACAATAAAAAACACATAAGAACTCTTACCTTAAACATAGCTGCCTCAGGAGAGCCAAGTTCAATGAAGGGAGGTTTGCCTGTTGCCATCTCAACTATTGTACAACCCAGGGACCAAATGTCAGCCTAGAGAAAATAATATTTGATTATAAATTCCTTTGGAAATACCCACAATGAAAATACTGTACAATGAATCTGGTAAAATGAATGTAAGGTCATAAATTTACAACAAATCTTAAATATCCCATTTCATGATTAAGTTTGGGCCAGCCACAGGTGACAGTCTAGGTAGGTGCAAGTGATGAGACATCACAACACATTGGTTTCTGACCTTTCACAGAGTTGGCTTTGGCAGGGAGGCATAACAAAATTAGTCCAAAGGGTCTCTTGGATTTTCAGCCTACAGCCTTAATACTCTTGGGTTAGGGTAAACACTCTACGGTGAGATGCTCAGGGTCTGGCCTGTTACTCACCTCACTACACTTGACTGCACCACACGAGAGATAATTGTACATAATAAGTCATAGCAAGCTTGCTATTTGAGTTAAAACGGTGGGATTGATTGCATTAGCAATGTAAATAAATTATCTACAAACAGTTTAATATAAGTAATTACGATAAAAGAATTATTTCTAAACGTATGAGCGAGTAGAATTTTTTTTTCCCATATATACTGTACAGTACAGGTTGACAATCCCTTATCCGAAATCCTTGGGACCAGATGCATTTCAGTTTTTGGAATTTTTTTTCGGTTTTCAGAGCTTTTCGGTTTTTGGAATTTCGGATAAAGGGTTGTCAACCTGTACTCCCGTGTTAAAAGCGAAGATGTGTTCATACGAACAAATTTTTGGTCAACACTAAGTAATAAAAACACTTATAAATGGAGGTACTGTACACATTTCTTTACACACATTAAATATAGTTTGGACATTTTATAATTTTACTAAACACAAATAATAGTAAATACATAAAGATACATAAGTTTTAGCAATGAAGCTAAGTTCTTTCCAGGATCAAACCTCCATAAAACATTGAGCTTTAAACCCAGGTGTAGGTGTAGTATTTACACTTGAACTTGCTGACCTTTTTGCAGACATCTTGAGGAGAAATACACTTCAGTGTGGAAAAATCTTGAAAGAACAATAGCTAAAGGCGGAAGCAGACTGTAACTGACTTGCTCCCAGACTCAAAACAAAGCCTGCCACTAACATCATCGATGCAACAAATGTAATTTGAATTTCTTAAAATAAATATAAAATATGGGTAAACTTACTTTATTTTTTCAAATTTAGTGATTAAAAAAAATTACATTTTATGTATAATTCCATTACGGAGAATTTACATTTCGTATCTTGATTTTAATGGTAGTGATTTACAATTGTCCATAAGGACGAATTTCCATAACCAGAATTCCTGTAATGCGGAGGTCCAGTGTATATACAGTAATATCCCGCTTTACGCGTTTTTTTTTAAGCGTTTCTACATTTACGCGGTACCCTGCCAGAACCGGCATTCCCACTTTATGCGGTGCATCTACTCATATACGCGGGCGAAGTATAATTTTTTTATTTAGCTCATAAAATTCATACAAATTACCCGGCCAGAATATAATTTACATTGCTGGAATTCTTACAATTTGATGATCATTTTGAATATAAACATCATAGATTTTGCATTAGACATACAAATATTAGATCTAATGTAATAATTTTGTTTACTCAGAGCAAATATGTTATCTTTTGTGCAAAATATATGACATGTATATTCAAAATATTCCTGGTCTTGCAAGGAATCCAGCAATGTCAATTATATTATCCTAACTTTAGTTTGAGGTATTACTTATTACTATACCTTAAAATCTAGTGTTTTCCCCCAAACATTTCTCAGAGAGGGAGGAGCCAGCGAGTGTGAGAAGAGTGGGGGGGGGAGTTGAGTCCATTATTTGAATGGGCATTAACTTGGTGACTGTATTTCTCTATTTCTCTTAAATATGAATTGTGTGTGCGTACCATCATAAAATTAAGATGTTATTTTTACTAGAACATAGGTATTGTGTCGGGAAAAAGTGGAGTTTGGGGGTCGGCCCGGTCTCTATTTCAATTAATCCCACATGTTATGTTGTTCACTTTACGCGTTTCTCGCTTTACGCAGGCCTCCGTGGGTTCAATTGACCGCATAAAGCGAGGGTTCACTGTACTGATAAGGCTACACAGAGATTTAGGCCTATGATTGGCTATGCAAACTAATAATGTTTTAGAAAATCTAGATAAAATCTGGATAAAAAGTCATGTACCTGTATGTGAGGGAAGGGTGCAGGGAGTCTTATGTTCCTTATTTTATTATATAACTAACCGGAGCTCCATATCCTCTGGCTCCTTTATCGATGACTTCAGGTGCCATGTACTGCAGTGTTCCTGTGAAGGTCTCAGTACTTAAGCAAACTCCTGCCAGCCGCTTGGAAGTACCAAAATCTGAGATCTTGACCACTCCAGTATAAGTATTGACTAGAACATTATCACCTGAAAACAAAAACAAAAACATTCCTTAGTTTCTGAAAAATTAAAAATAAAATTACCTTGGAAAAAAAAATGCTCTGTTTGTTCATTTGAGGGATAATAAGCATTGCATTGACTGGGATAATGCTTCCTCAATATTACCTTGTAATTCAATTGACAGTAGGAACATTATAGAATCTAGTCTCATTAAACATACCGAATCAGTCAACATGAATTTGAGTAATGGTATGTACAAACTGGATAATTTTGTAATTAAGAAGATTTGTAACCAGGTGAGAAGGTTGGGTCATCTTACCCTCTGACCTGACTACCGACTGCTGCGGTGCTTTTTGAAGATTAGTAGGGTTATTACCTAATACCTGACCATTGTGGACTTGATCTCACCCTCCTCTGTACATATATATATATATATGCTGATAACCACAAGGAAAGAAGAAAACACGAAGTTCCCAAGCGCTTTCGTGTAATTCACATCTTCAGGGGTGAGTACAGACTAGAGAAATACAAATCAAGGTGTATATATACAGAGGAGGGTGAGACCAGGTCCACAATGGTCAGGTATTAGGTAATGACCCTACTAATCTTTAAATAGCACACAACGGTTGGTGGTCAGGTCAGATGGTCAGGTGACCCGGCCTTCTCACCTGGTCACAAATCTTCTTAATTACAAAATTGTCCAGCTTGTACATGCCGTTACTCAAATTCATGTTGAATGCTTCGGTATGTTTAATAAGACTAGATTCTATGATGTTCCTACTATAAATTGAATTACATGGTAATATTGAGGCATTATCCCAGTCAATGCAATGCTTGTTATCCCTCAAATGAACAAACAGAGCATTGGATTCCTGGCCTGTCCTAACACTGTTTATATATATATATATATATATATATATATATATATATATATATATATATATATATATATATATATATATATATATATATATATATATATATATATATATATATATATATATATATATATATATATATATATATATATATATATATATATATATATATATCATAAGTCCATATAGCACACGAACTTCCATATACAAACAACACTTCACTAGTTGGGAATCGAACCCTGGACCTCTGCTTGTGAACAGGGATCGCTACCACTGCATCACAAGGACACCAAAAGCAATCCTAGGCTTTGTTATATTTCACACAAAGCCTGTTCATCGTGCTTGTGGCCCCGTGAACCTCCAATGGGGATTGCCCGTGCCAACTACGTACAGTGGGGTATGCTATAACGAACGGATCCTACTACGAATATTCCTATAACGAACGGTTTTACCTATAAAATTGAGAATGCTATAACGAACGAAACTCCTACAACGAACATTATTTAAAAAAAATTTTTTTTTTTTTACTAATTTATTGTTTTTTTATTACAAGTATTAATGATATTGGTTATTTCAGGGGTTTAGATGCATATTTATGCACTTTTTTACAATTTTTACAATTTTATATTATATTTTTCAGTGTTAAGTGGTTGTATTTGGGGGCCTGGAACGGATTAATCCTATAACGAACGAATGCTATAACGAACAAGGTTCTAGAACCAATTAGATTCGTTATAGCATACCCCACTGTATGTGGTTGGAGTAGCATTTTACCGAATCCAGTTGCCAAGAGGTGTCTGGGAGCAACTAATCTTATGATTAGATGCAATTAACTTGATGATTAATTAAGCTTCCACTATTGTCCTTAAGGAGAGAATTAGAAGCATTACTGATTCCAAATCATACTGGATTCCTCAAAAGAAGAAACTTGGTATGGCACTTCTCACATGTAAGACAAGACAGATAGTTCTTGCTGCCTAATCACACATCCTTCTTAATCCTGTTATGCTTGGCATAACCATAAAGGAACAAAACATAATCAGCAACTTCAGCTCAAACCCACTCAGGCACCCCTATAGGAAGAGTCAGGAGATCTGGTTCACCCAAATCACTCAAATAGAAAATAGACTTATGAGAACAATATCTTATTTCTAATCTATTGCTGGTCTCTGACAACTAATGTACAGGTACACCTTGCTATACTGTACGTTGTTTCACTTATATGTTGTTGAAAAATTATGGATTTCTTTTTTCATAAATTCCAAAAACAAAATTACGAAACATTAGTGGAATAATTTAGGTAGCGTTAGAATGCCAATTAACCGCTGTATTCCTACCATCGCTTACCCTTCCAGCACCAGTCTACGAGATACTGCCACATTCACTTAAGCTCATTTGATTAGAGTGAGATAAACCATTACCAAAACTTTGTTAAATGAATGAAAGGTGCCCAGTACAGTAAATGATATGTGTGTCGGCGGTAAAAAAAAACAAAAACAAGGAAAAGTTTTAATCTAAAGGTTTTGATGCTGGCAAATGAGCTGTTGATATCACCAGAGTGTTTGGCCTACCTGCCAGATAGGTAAGAACAATTTGTGATAAAGGAAAAAAAATTAAGAATATTTTCAAAGTGTGACACCTTCATCTGTTACTAAAATAACTTTTAGCAGACGTGGAATTGTCAAAAAATGTGAGAAGACCTTTAAATATTTGGATGGAAGATTAAAGTGTACATGACATGACAGTTTACTACACTAGGTGTGGGGCAGGTGCTAATGCACCTTCACATGGCCATCTGCCACTGTAACATTACCAGGTGTGAGGGGGGTTGCTCTTTACCTTCACTTGGCTCCTTTTTAACAAAATTTTTAGTCCTACTTACACCCTAGCTTTAGAGAGTGTCTTGTATTAAATATTATGTGTAACCATTAAGGTTTTATTAATGAACATTTCCCCCTAATTGGCCAGTTAGCTATGCAACCTATTTTTCCTTTAAGTTATAGTGAGGAATTCTATGTGAACTCATATCCTTCAGAGGTCAGCCAAGATTGTAATAGTGCATAAAATTGTAAGGCTTCTGTAAACAACAACACCCTCCTGAGCTCTAGCCTCCTCTTCTCAAAATCAAAACTAGTAGAAAATAAGTGTACACACATACACACACATATACACAAAACAAACCTTTAATATCTCTATGCACAATCTTCTGATCATGAAGATATTTCAATCCCTCCAGGATCTGCTTGGTATAATATGCAATAGTTGCTTCATTTTCCTTCAATGGTCCCCATTTTGATCTCAGGAGAGCAGATAGGGACCCTCCTGGAACCTGTTCCATGAAGATCTTGAAAAAGCCATCTTCTGATGCTGTTCCCAAATACTGTACGATGTTTCGATGACGTAGCTCTGAGTGAAGCTTTATCTCTTCATGCAGTGGTTGAACTTCCCTAAAAATAAGTCACTATGAAGCTTGAACAACACACAGATAAAAAAAAATACTAAATGTAAAAATTTTCATTTATCTACATTCATTTGGCATTCACAACTATGGACTAATGATCACAGTTGCTTCATGACAAAATTTTACTCACCCAATATTTTTTTCTGGTACTTCTTTTACAGCAATTCTAATTTGAGTGTTGAGATCTCTGGCAGCATATACAACACCATATGTACCCTTGCCCAGGACCATGCGCTTCCCATTGTCATCTAGTTCATACTCATACTGCAAGAATAATTTTACAATCTCTCAATCTTTAGTCACCCAAAAAGTGCTATACAAGGGCAACAAACTGGGTTACTGAAGAGTTTACTGAAAAACATTGTACAATAAAGAGAAAGAAGTAAGGTGATCACTGAAGTGGTTGGCTCTTGGCTAGTTGGGTCCCAGGTCCTTCCTAACAAAGCCTTCTCCTTGACGATGAGGGTGGACAGAGGGGTGCCACATGATGTCTGGTCTTCTATCCACAGCTGGAGAAGATACTCCATGTTGTCCATCACAGCATCACAATATAGTGTAAGCCTGCTTGCTTCTGTCCATGTGAAATTGCTGCATGTTTGATCTCCTGAGTATGCCTGAATATAGTGGCGATGGTTGAAGCAGGCACGCCTAGGTCTCTCCCGATCTTAGTTGAGCCTTCCCCCCATTCTTGACGCTATATTATTTAAAGCTTATGACACATGTGCACTTCCACTGAGGACTCCAATTTTCTATTTCTAAACCATGGTAAACTGCACTAAAATAAAATTTACTTTAGCTTTAAAAGAGGAAAATACCTATAGCTACGGTAAATAAAAGGTGTAGTATTAAAACAGAATTGCACTACTGTAATCTCAAGTGCTCTAAACTGAGGATAAGTGAATAATAAACTTTTACTATTCCTGCAAATGGCAATGGAAAAAAGTTGGTATAGCTATTCATTAATACCTGGATAGGGCCTGAAGATATCTCAGCTTCTAGGTCCATGACTGTGCCTTTTTGGTTGACTGTAAGCTCTTGCACCAGACGAAAAAAGATGAGGCGGCATTGCTCAGAAGGGAAAAACATTTGGAAGTCATCCGAGTTTTCTTGAACATATAGGAAAACGGCTCGCTCATCTCGCTTATAAAGTCTGAAAATTTAAGAAATTTATTGAGTAAAAACTAACTATGTATCCATCTCCTAATTTTTCTAACATATTTTCTCCAATCCCATAAGCAAGAAGTAGACCATGGGAAAAATAAATTTTAAAAGAGGGATGAAATGATGAGACAGAAACACTAATAGGAGTAAAGTGTAAAGAAAACATAGAATGAACTTAAAAACCTACATGGTGACCGAGTGACAATGATAAGTGACTTAAATACGAGATTAACTGACCAAGACACTCCCAGGCAAAGCCTCCCTTGTCTAGGCAGGTAACAGCACTCTCTTATCACTTTGGTCCAATAACACCAATGTCCTATTGGACCAAAGAAATTTGTTGCTTAAGCATCTACTTGTCCAGCTTAACCTGAATTATTAAAGTAAGTTCCAACCACTATGCCAAGATATTCAAAAGGGTCTTTCTTGAGCCCCTTCTGTTTACCATGGTGCTAGGGGCAATATCATAGGACTTCAAGACTGGTCTACCCAGGGAGTTATTGCACAGTATGCTGATGACTTAGTGCTGATAGCAGAAAGTATTGAAGAGGAAGGGTAGAAATTTATGAAATGGAAGAATGCAATAGAGTCAAAGGGCTTTAGAGTGAATGTGGCAAAAACAAAAGCATTGGTTAGTGATGTGGGTGAGGGACCCATGATGGAAAGTAAAAAATATCCATGTACTGTCTGTAAGAAAGGCATTGGCAGCAACTCAATAATATGAAACAAATGTGGAAGGTGGATACACAAGCGATGCAGTGGAGCAGATAGCACACTGCAGAATGTTGCTGATTTTAGGTGTTGTGTAGCTGTAGGTAACACTATGTCCATAGCAAGGCTGGAGAAACTCAACATTGGGTTTATATCCATGGAGTGTACCCATGAGTTCTGTTACCTGGGTTACATGATCAGGGCCAGTTGGGTGCTGAAGCCTTCTCAGTTTCAAGAGTAAGAGGTGGCTGGAGGAAGTGTAGGGAGCTACTGCCTATACTGACAGCAAGAGGGCCTTCCTTCTTTATGAAAGGAAGAATATATGCAGCTGGTGTGAGAAGTGTGAGGTTATATAGCAGTAAAACATGAGCAGTTAAAGAGGATGACATAGGCAGTCGTGAGTAAGCTAAATGGTGAGGTGTATGTGTAATGTAACACTGAAAAGCAGGACAGGAGACTTTAAACCCAGGTGGGCCTCTGGATATTTGAGAATAATGGTGAAGTTTTGTGCAGAGGCAGACTCAAATGGTTTGGGCAAGTGGAGACAATGGATGAGACCAACTGGGTCCAGAGGTGCACGAGTCTAAATGAGGAGGGGAAGGAGAGCCACAGGAGAAGGCCAAGAATTATATGAGAAGAGGTTGTAAGAAGTGAAGAACTTGATAAGAGAGACTGCAATAGAATGTGTAGCATGGAGAGCCGCCATCAGGTAATTGTGGATAACCCACGCAAACATTAATAATGGCCATAAAACATTGATGATGATGATGAAGTATAATCTACATACTAAAGCCTTCTCGCCCTGCAAATATCACAAGACTTTTTTTGTAATTTGTTGTTCACCATCAACACCATATTTACTGTAAGGATTAATAACTTTAAATAAATACCATCCTTAAGAATATCTTTTGTATACGTACAACAATTAGGTCACCAAAAAACAGTAACTAATGACAAGAAACAGAGGGCAACTTTCCTTAGTTATACTATACAGTACACAACACACATTGCCATAGTAATGGTCACATTGAAAATCAACTTTCCTACCACCTGTAAGGAATAATTACAGGTTAAAATATCTGAAGGTCAAGAGAGAAAGGTAGGGAGAAACATAAAACATAAGCTCACGTGATAGTTTTAATACTGGAAGCATTGAAGAGCCAGTCATGAACTTGTCTACAATTTCCTTTCATCTGGTCTATACACAAGTTCCAAAGTTGAATACTCTTTTCCTCAGCCCCAAGATTTACAGTCACATAACTTGGCAAGTAATAACTTGGTTGGTACATTCTTGTTGGTTCCAATATCAGGATCTGAAATAAAACATAAAACACCAAATAATCTAACTGACTCGTTTACTTTAATCAAATGGCTTAAATGTTTCCCTATTCATGCATAATGTGGCCTACTAAAACATGTTTTATAATATCTATTATTTATGATACAAAATTTATTCCTTATTTGTGATTTCTTCTCTCTACATTTCAACTTTACATCTTGCATTCTCTTATAAACTATTTTATCTTATTCCCAAAGTTCCCTCACAACAAATCATTTCATATACAGGTACTGTATTCCAGTTATTAATTTCTTTCTTATCCCCAATTTTGTTCAAGCTGAATATTGTTGTGTGACTTTTTACTTAAAATAACTACAGTGTTTCAAAGACATTAACAAAATGTAAAGACTGATGTTTGTAAAGTCCCATTTTATGACCATTGGTCATCAATGAGGGATCTCCCTGCTCCCCTCAGAGAGGTCCCATAGTTTAACAGCTAACAAAGTCTCATTGTTGTTGTAACCCATTTCACTTGTACAATAAGTCAATGAGCCTTTGGCATCTAACAAAAATTGACAGTCACTCTGCATTGGACAAAAGACAGGTGAGCAGCTAAGTTGTAGTGTAAGGGGCAGCAATGGGTTTTGGGTGGATTGAAAGTAATGGTGAAACTGGGTGAAAGGAAGGGGGGAGTAAATGATCACAACTTAGTTTAGTAATCTAGCAAGATGTCTTGTCATTTCTCCTTGGAGTGTTATATCTAAAATGTCATGGTACAGATATATGGTGGAGAGGTGTTTAGTAGGTTATTTAGTTAAAGTCTTTGGATGAAAGAGGTTGTTAATTGGATTGATATGTTTGTAGATTGTTATGCTGGGATGTTTGGGTGTGTGGGACAAAGATTAGAAGTGTTAAGAGGTCAATGGTGAAAGTAAGTTGCAGGTAACATGCCTCTTAGTACAAATAATGTTGTTTTCAAAAGAGATCCTACAATGCAAAAAAATGGAAGCTATGTTGACTATTTCGATTGAAGATCAATATCAAAAGAGGTACCCCATCAGCACGGCTACTGCTCATGAGAAGGCTATTCATCAGTAGAAAACACCCACCCACCCAAACACACAGTTTGTCCTGAGGTATGTGTCCAAATAAGTTAAGAGGAAACTGTAACTGAGGGGGATTGGTTACGTTTTTAGTTTGTAACCAATGGATCAAGGAGAACATGTCAGTGCAGCAGGTTAGGACTCTCAGATTTTGCTTGACTGGTAAATGACATCTCCATGTTCCCACTTTTCTGACACCACAATTGTGTATGAAAGGACAGGCTAGTTTCTGAAATTTCTGGAATTTAGTCCCAGTCTCACATGTCAGGGGTCCTGGGAAGTCTGGGTTATCAAACTGTAGGGTTGTTGACTATACAAAATCTATAAAAACAATGTTATCAGATAGGCAGACAATATCATAACATACACAATCCATCTCTTTTTTGGCATGCACATACAGTAATAACAAGTCTCACTGGAAATCTGATGGCGTCCCCAAGCTCGGTGTTGGTGGCTTCCACAAAATAATCAATCCAAAAGTTGAAGATTCTCTCTTCAGGTCCTGGCTCAGAGTCTTCAGGCCGTTTCCTGAAGCGGTTGATCAGCATGATGTTTCCAATTGTGGATTTCAGGTACCTACAAGAGTAAGATCAAGAAAAACTAAGTAAAATATAAAAAAATCTAAATCAACATTCATGTCACAAATCCTACATGTGGTGAATATTTTGACAAGTGGACCATCAAAAGAGTTAGGCTAAGGATTAAGCTATAAAATCCCCTTTTATGACCATAGGGATGATGTGTGAGGTCCAAACTGCTCAGCACCTTATTGCACATCCACATTGACAGAAATGCCTGCGATCTGCGATCTACTCGCAGACAAATCCGAGAGATAATCAGACAAATTTTCGAAGATGAAATAATATAATTTTTAATTGTTTTGACTGAATGTATTGGATTCAAAGAGATGCAATGTTTTATTTATTACTGGCTGTTGTGTCTGGACTCTGAAATAAATATAGCTAGCCTAGATTTAAATTTAATTACAAGAAAATACAATGAACAAGAATAAAATATTGTGCTAGGCAGGCGGGCACTGACATAAGTGTGTAATTTTTTCCGGCATTAATATTCCTCGTCAGCGTCTTTCACCATCATTCTCTCCGTTTATTTATTAATTCTGCATCATTTTCATTATTGTTTTCACTTTGAACATCACTCAGTTATGATTTTAAAGTAAATATCTGCTTCAAATAAAGAAATTCCTTGCAGTAGTTGTTTGTATTATTTCTATACTTTATTGTAGGTTATCTAACTAAACTTTGATTCTACAAACATTACATATTTTATTTTAAATAAACTTTAAAGTTAGTTTTAAAATTTGTGTATACATGAGCTTTTCAAACGGTCAATGGACTGGCAAATGTTTTTTTTAACATAGTAAAATGTAAAATTCTGCACGTGATACAACACAACCCGAATCACAGCTATTCTGTGAATAACACTTTCTTGGAAACTGTTGGTAAGGAAAATGATCTAGGCATCATGATAAAGTAATCACTAAAGGCAACAGAACAAGTGGGAACATCATTGAAAAAAGCCAACCAAATCTTAGGAATTATAAGTTATAACTTCAAATACAAAGATAAGAAAATGTTCCTTGATCTTTATAAGTCTCTTGTGCATCTCCATCTTGACTGCTGTATACAGACATAAAGACCCTACCTCCAAAATGACATATCATCCCTATAAAAGGTGCAACACAGATTATTCCTAGACTAAATTATCTCAATTATACAAATAGAATGATAGCCTTAGGACTGACAACTCTTCACATGATACACAATAGGGCAATCTCAAACCATACAGTTTTCTAAGTTGATGTCTGAAATATGGTTACAGTTATTAGATTTTATATACACTATTGAAGAGAAAGTTGCCTCAGACAGAGGTGGTTCCAATTTGTACAAGCCCCTTGATAGCTCCATTTTTAACCACTGTGTGTGTCTTTGATAAGCTAATCCAGAACATTGCAATGTCATTGTAAGCATCAAAATTCATCCTTTCCTCATAGTCAGCCTTGAGTTCTGTTAGAGGGCATAAGTGTGGGAATTTAGTTGTCAAACATGTCATGAGGTCAAGACTGGGGTCCATGTGGCTTTACTTTAGAGACCTGATGTATTTCCATTGACCTAATCAGATGTCACATGACCCATCCCTGTTTTCCCAGCAACATGACCTAAAATAAGTGAGGGTTATTCCCCTGACCATAATTAACAGTTCCAACTTAACAAGACATCTACTGCTTTTCTCCTGTTCTCCCTTGATGCCTGGCCCAATAAAAATTACTTGTGACATTGCAAAGACCCAGGCAACCGTTTATGAAGCTTCCAACTCAATTTGGGGTCACAGCACTGGGTTTGGGAACCCCTGGACTAGATAACATCCTACCTTAAAACTTAGGCTTAAGAATATGATCTGACTCCTAATTCACTCAACAAAGAACATGGAAGAGGGAATAAGAAAGACAGACAACACTGAAGGAATAATCTTTCATAAAATTAGAATAAATCATTATTTGTATCCTTTTGTCATAGTACAAATAAAAACACATACCAATTTGGAGGTTTTAACTTGAACATGCATTCAGCTGCTTGAACAGCCTTTCCATAGTCTTCTGCTAAAACACTGATCTCAAAGAAGGTTGCTACATCCCAGTAATCTTGTAAAGATGACAGGGAACCTTTTTTGCCAATAAGATTGTTTAGAACCATACCTGAAAGAAGGGAAGAGTATTAAGATTAGTTCATAAAAATTTCAGATAAGAGTTCAACACGAAGAAATTATCAAATTTCTCCTGTCCCAAACAAAATTTCTAAGTCAACACTGTAGTGTACTGTATATTTACAGAAAATACCAAGTATCTAAGTCAGTCTAGACATCAATGGTATAGTGCTGGACTGGATATCAAATTTCATTTTGAGATGTAAAAACGGTCTCTAGTTATATGATGGAAACAATTTACACATTAAACACACTCCCTGTACCATAAACAACTGGGACATAAAAGACAAGGCTCTAATTTTGTGAAACTCAGAAACAAAATATATGAACATACAGTATCTGTAATTTATGCCTTATGGCCAAAGGGAATGACCCATAATTTTGGATAACACACTGCAACACTCATGATAACACTTGCCATATCATGGTACATATTTTATTAATTTGCAGAAGAAATTCTCTTGAGTATGCAGTAAAATCATGAATTTGCACACCATAATTTCACCTGAAATGTCTGTCTTACAGAATGAAAGTGACTGGCTGGTAAAACTTGAATTTCTTGCCCTGTAGTTTCAAAATCGGCCACTAAGCATGAAATCCAATAAATCTATTATTTGGTTTAGCTATTCATCAAAACTTTAGGTTCTAGTAATGTTTTGTTTTATCCACTGATATAGAATTACAATAAACTCCCTCTAATCTAGACTAATTGGGGGGTTAGGCCTGTCCCATTTTGCCAAAATCCCGGGTCGGGGTTCGTATTGTCCATAATGCAATTGCAGGGTGGAAAATTCCAGAGGGTGGAGGGATTCCCCAGTCAAGCTACCTAAGAACAATGAACCTACTGTAACTTTTGACCTGGACTTAACACTCAGGGTTTTTATATGTCATATGAATGTTTTTTTAACCACTAAACCATTAAACAGATTAAGAGGACCTAATCCTCCTCTTTAACTTGCCTCACTTCTAACTATTAGGAGAGAAGAGGCTAATTTTGTCTCTCAGCTATAAGATGGAATTTCAGGACATAAACAAACCCAAGATACAAAGTGATGTAGAATTATTTGAGCAGCTCTCAACATATAAGAGCACTACATTTAATGAATAATTTTTATTTAAAATATCCATACAAGTAAAACAAATGATCGACTGAGTATGTGCAAGTGTGTGGGAGCAAAACTTAACCTAGCCAGGGAAGATAATTTAACCTGACCCAAGAAAACAAAAAGCTGTTTTCGAGAATTTCTGGTTTCATGGGACTGTACCTGCATTAGATATTCAAGTACCTGTATACAGTAATTCTGTACACTTCAGTACATATTGGTAGCTGTGTGTTTTCCTCAGACATTCGTACCCACTATACACGCAGTACACTACAACAAACATTCCTAAGTTAAAACACACTACTCTACAGTAATATTTCTGGGGGTAATGGTTAGCCAGTGGAGATGGTGAGTTGTCCAGTCTTTTTGGATTATTACTCAACACTGGATCACACAGCCTCTAAACCTTAAAACGAATTCACATCTACAGGTAGGTGGCCCTATGGCCGGCCAGTCTCAAACATGAGAGGCAATCATTAATAAAGGCCAGCATTGAAAGTAGTGGTTTATTAAATACTCTACTGTTTAATTTAAAAAGATTACCACTGTGCTGCCTAAAGAAGAAAATGAAAAGAGCACAGCTCACCTATATGCTGCAGTTCACCAGATTTTGAGAAGTCGTTACCAGCTATGACAAGAAGTGTAGCCAAGTTGATTCCAGCATATTCATTTGGTTGCACTTCAAATCCTTTCCTATACCAATAAATGGCACTGTGCAAACTTTCCATATCTGTGTGTTGAGATTCAACAAATTTATCCTGAAAAAAGTAAACAAATAATACAAATATCAGTAAACTGTATTATACAATACTGTCTCAGTTATTTACATAAGCATCCCATGAATATAATAAGGACTTACACACATGGTTCTTTTGTCACATTTACACTGCAATTTCATTTAGTTTTATACACAAAATTAAAACCCATATTTTCCATGGATCATTACTCCACATTTGTCAGCCTTATTACTTCATATACTGTAAGTTACCAGTAGTTTTCATGACCATCTCACCCTTAGCTATATTCTGAGTCATAAAAACCCCTTCCTCAAACTTCAGGTGGTAGAATGGTCTGAAGGAGGGGGGGGGGAGGAGGAACAAGATTAAATTTTATTCTCCCCTAACTATAAGAGGATTTCATGAGCTTTACTAGTAGGAAAACAACAGTGAGTGTAACTACTAGAGAACAAAGCCAGTGTTGGGAAAAACACTATGTACACATCTAATGGACATGCCTGAGGCTTCTACACAATTATATATCTTGTGATGGCTACATATCCTCAAACAATTAAGAATCCAGAATGCCGGATCACTGACACATGGTGCACGCACGCACGCATCAATTAAACCTTGTGCATTCTGCAGATTGTATATAAATCCTTCTAAGGGACACTTAAAACTGGGAGCCTGCTGTCCAACTATGCTCAATAAATACACCCCACCATGCTAAATTTTATGAACCTATCATTAATCTTAATTTAACATGAAATTGTCAAAAGTGTCACACATACAGATGCTCCACTCACTCTGCTTAACACCCTCGTGCACCGTCTTATTAATAACAACCTTCCCTTCAATGCACGGAGTACTGTAAGTAGTGACCTTGCTTGGAAGTGCCACACTGTATACTTTTTTTTCTTCACATGAAACCAGAAGAAAAAGTGAAAAAAGAAGAAATAATTTTGACGATGTGAAGTCATGCATTACATTTTTCAATAGTGTACAACCAACTTGAATTTTAGCCAACAAAGAACTGAGTAAGGACAAGTGTCAAATAACAAAAGAGAGGGCATTTTTATGCTTTACATTAGTGAAATATAATTTTTGATAAGAGTACTAATACAGTAACTATACCTTTATACAACACACTGGAGTGTATCATAGTATACAATAATACATTATTTGTATAATATTATATTGATAAAATAAAACTATATTTTAAAATAATTTTACTTTTTGGTGTGATGGTAGATGTTACAGGGAGTTGCAATTGGGGGGAAGGTATGATATACAAAGAAGCAGTCTCCGCACATATGAACAAGTGAAATATCTTAAGATAAACACATACAATACAGTACAGTACTGTATTTACACACTTATAAAAACACTTCACAATGCTTCTCATCACTTATACAGATGACTGAGACAAAGGTTATCTCATACCATCTCTACAGTATATCTTAATGTTTGTCAATATAGAGGTTAATCTCAGTACAGTACAGTGTTATGGCAAATTGGGTGCAAAAATTTAAATACAGGTATTATGCCAATTCAGCAAATTCAGTATTAGGCAAGGCCAGAACCCCTAGAATTCAAAATTATCGAGGTTTTAGTGGACATATTTCACTTTTAACACAAACACTTGGCCTCTGCACAATATGTCATCCTACTGGCTACTGTGATAAAATTAATCCTCCATTTCCTTCCATATGAGTAATGCATTGGAGCCTCAGCCAAGTTCTTATCACCATAGCAACAGAGTTGTCTTAAATTTTAAAACACTAAGTTTGAATGTTGAGACCAGAATGAAATCATAATACAGGAGTATGACAAATTCAACATAGAGAGGGTTAGAACCTAATGTTAAATTCTTAGCTAAATGAGACAGTATTCAATTTTGAGAGTATGACATGCATAGCCCGCCACACAAAAAACATGGAATTAACAAAGTACAATAAATGAAGAGGGGGAAGAAGTAAACTAAGCTTTATTAAGATAAAATACAAGCTAAAGTAAAAATAACTTACCTGAAGCTCACTTTACTAGGATTCTGAACATTACATTTTGTTCCTAAAAAAATACTGGGTACAGGTACATAACACTGCACTTGTTAGTTAATGTACGGATGATCAATTTCTACAATACCTTATATATTCGACCACAAAGACACACCATGTCTGGAACTTCATTCTCTTTTTTTTCTAATGCCTTTGTGATTACAGTAAGAGCCTTCTCTCTATCACCTTCCATATTACGTCTGTGGACAAAAATATTTAATCAATATGTCTCAGCCTTAAAAATAAAAGAGGGATTGATCCTGAAATATCATTTTATAACCAAGCAAGGTTCCGCTAAATCAAATACTGTACTGTCAATTAGATAATGGTTTGAAATTCAGGCCTCCCAATACAGGGATACCTCTTACAGTGCTCAAGATGCATTTCTGGAAAAAGAGGCACTACAAGAAAAAAGTCAATAAGAGGGCACTGTAACATTGTTCTTATGAACTGCCCACAAGAATTATACATATAACCTTCAAACAATAGTAAACTCACCTTCCATCTGCAACCTATGGGGGCCCCTATTTATAACATTTGCTCCCCCATTCCATTAATTCTGCTTTCACCTCTCTTACTACTGTACCACACTCAAGAAAACACTGACAAACCATGAAGACATTACACATCCTTAACACCAATCTAATTTCATTGCCTGAATCAGTACAGGAATGTTCTTTTGCTGCTCTATCCTTTTCCTATACAGCACCCAGATTGTACAATCAGTTGCCTACATCCATGAAGAGGCTGAATTCTGTGGAAGCCTTTAAGAAAAAACTTAAGACCTTTCTTTTTTTAAAGTTTATGATCCTGAACAGGGTATGGTTAAGGAGAAACAAAAGATCAGCTATTATTATTATTAAAACACACTCCTGACACATCCTTCTCTCTCCTATAATTATGAAAATATTCCTAAAATGACCAAAGTCCTCCTCTGAAGAATGGATCGCTCTGGCAATGTTCTGATAGTAATGTATCAATTATAATATACAGGCAGCTTGACATAATTATATTATCAGAGCACTTACCGATTTAGTGCAAATCCATACAGGAACCTGATGGCTGGGGTGCTGGTATACAGTTTACGGTTAGGTATAGTCTTGAGATCATCAACCAGATGAACCATTGCATCGTAGTCCTGCAAAACAAGTCAAATTTAGAAATAGTAAGCAATATTTCCATACTTGCTATGTACAAAATTAATGCAAATGCCTTTCCTGCATATCATAAACATTTTGTTACAATTGTATCTATAACATACCTGGATCTCTCTCAATGATATCAACATACTGAGAACAACATCGATAGATAAAATATTAGGATCATCAAGTCGTCTTCGGAGATTATGCAACTGTTTCTTGAGCTCATCGCCAGAGTACACATCCCGTGCTTTGCGTAGATCCGCAAGGAATTTCTCTTTCATGTGTGCTCTGAAATTTCGAGTGATAATAAATTAAAAAGAGTACTATGTTATTTACCTTATCATTAAACTAATAAATAGTTACTGTCACCATGAATGAACAGTACTGTACTATACAGTACAGTGTATGCAATAAGAAAAAACAATTTTTGCTTACTGAAAATTATTTCTATCTTAAACCCATGGCAGCATTGAAAGGCTCACCTTGAATAATAAGGCTTATCTAAAATATAAAATTACACAAATCTCTGTGTGTTAACACAAACGGTGATGGAATGTTGTATTGGTGTAAAGAAAGCGAGAAAAACTCAATTAAAATTAAAAAGCTCAGTATTATAGTATATTATTGCGTCTGGCAGAGCTGCCCTGCCACTAAGAAGCTGGCATAGTAATAATAGGAAAGACTGTTTTGAGATTAAACGAGCATTTCTGTAATTAGAAACAATTACATGTAATCTACTTACCGACAATCAAAACATATATTTTTTTTTACTACAGTACCTACAAAATCTGCTGCATATGACATGGATGCTGGTCACTAGTTAGCCTCAGTGAATGGGTTAAAATAATCAAATCATTGTACAGTATTTCATATTACCCCCTGACAATGATGATTTCTGTTTTACATTTTACAATTATTCTATTTAATTTTCTTCATTGTCATGCAGATAATTGTGTCAAACAAAAGAGATGCCATCTTGTCTTATACAGCATATCCTTAACCACTTGTGCACGGGGTCCCCTCTAAGCCAAATAAAATCATCTGGTGTTAGCCAAATAAAATATTAAAAAGTGGCATCCTCGTAATGATGGGGTTAATGTTTATTTCTGGCACATAGAGTTGTGTGCCATTTGTGGTTCCCATAAAGACACATGACCACACAAGTCTATATGACAGAGAATATTAGAACCAAGACCATCCTCGTGGTACTTCAAACTGCAAAGAGACAAGTCAAGGTACTGATCCTCTGACATAAGTTTCTATGGGAAAATTCACGTCCACTTTACGTATACAATATTCAGGTCAAAAATATGACTGTCCTATTTTTGCCAATGTAGCAAAACATTTTTAACAGTTCTGTGGGGTTCTAAGTCTCACCATGAGATTTCAAATAAACTATACAGTACCTTCATTCACCTATCAGGCATCATATATTTTATACATAAATATCATTTCACAGTAAGTTCCTCATGTGGTTTTTCAGTTTTTTACTTAAATATATTTCTGGCATCAACTAACTTGATTAGAGAAATAAGTTAAAACAACTACAATACCATACTTACTTTGACTGAATTTCAACATCCTGTAGTTGTCTCCGAAGTTTGGTGGAAAGAAGTATTCTGGACTCTGAAGGAATACTATCATCTGCTCCAATTCTCGCGCTGGGATCTGTCAGTACACACTGTCCCGAATCCAACAGGCGGTACGAAATAAAAATGTAGTTGCTGCATGAAAACTGGAACAAAATAAAAATAACATAATAATAAAAACTGATCAGACAACATTGCTGAGGTTTAGTCAATAAATATAGCAGAGAATTTTCATTTACATACAATGCCAGATGATGTTATTCAGTTCAGTATTTCATTAACTGAGGGTAACAATTCTGGGGCCAAGAAATATCCTGGGTTTTTTTCCATTGGGTTGCTGAAAAACCATTTGTTAAGTGAATTTTCGTGTATAGTAGTGAATAAAAGAGCACACTGTACGGGAAAATTAGGGTACCGTTCCACAATGACAAAAAACACCAATATAATACCCCCAAAACCTGAAATCAGTTCATGAACACCAACCAAAAACTACCTAACTAATGATAATAGTACACAACTATTTATAATTTACTACCTAATACAGTACAGTACTGTATAATAAAAACATTAATAAAATATAATCCAGATGAAAATATGCAGCTAAAACAATAAGGGTCACTAAATGAAAGCTTAACACATCTGCCATTTGCATAGACGCTGACTGCATCACACATGACTGCCCTAAGATATGCCATAGCAAACTAGCTCAGTTGGGTACACCGCCTCTGCCAACCTTTAGCAATGCTTCCCACCCGCTCTCACACACAAAGAAATGCTTATTCCCTTTATGTTTCTGACCTTATGATAGTTATTTCTTTAACTTTTTTGCACATTATGTACGTAGCATTGTATGTGCAGCTATATGATTAAAATTAAGTGAAGAAAGTTAAGTTTACCCACCCGATATTAGGAGTTGAATAATAACCAAAACATAATTCTGTATAATAATTGTATAAGATTAAACCGCCCAATAAAAATGACACACAAAACAAATCTTGAATACATTAACATGACAAAACTGTACTGTACCTTAAGTGGCATGGTGACCTCCGAATCATTATCATTGTAGAGCAGGATATTTTCTTTCATGTCAAAGCTTTCACGAACACCAAGATGGTAGAACAGAGAATGCTGCTGTAAAACAATTGACAGGTCCACAATGGCCACATCTGCATTATAGAACTGGTCCAGAACATTTGTTTCACCAAAGTCAAGCTTTTCAAACTGCAAAAGAAATATACCATCAGATATACCACCAACCACATTTCAGGATGCTATCATTCTGCCAAATTCTAAAATAGATATGATAGGCCTCACCATTTCCCCTAATATATCATGGAAGCCACACATCATCAACATTGCTAAAGCTGCCTCCTGAAAGCTGGGAATGCTGTACAGATGCCGTAGCTACTTCACTCCGGAGCAGTTGGTTCAAGTTTATAAGGGATTCATTCGTCCAAACTTGGAGCACTGCTCTCATATCTGGGGTGGCTCTTCTTCTGTCCAACTGTTAGATAGGGTGGAATGAAAGGCATTTCGTCTTATTAGCTCTCCTCCTTTAGTTGATAATCTTTCTTCCCTTTCTCTTCGCCGCAATGTTGCTTTACTCTCTCTTTTTTACAGGTACTTTAACAGGCAATGCTCGGTGGATTTGGCATCCTGTGTACCATCGGCAAGGCCGTGGGCTCGTAACACATGTCTTGCCCGCGATGCCCACCATTTCTCTGTGGATGTCGGTCACACTAAAAACCCATTAAAGTACATCCTTCTTTCCTCACACAGCCAAATTGTGGAATGCTCTGCCTTCTTCTGTGTTTCCACACTCATACAATGTCTCACTTTAAAAGGCTGGTTTTCCGGCATCTTCGTGGTGTAGATTAATATAACCTTTTCCTTTTCTATTTTTTTCGACTCCCCAGGCCCCGTTGTGGGTCGATGACCCGTAAAAAAAAAGGGAGAAACTTCAATGAGAGAAGCAATTAATCTATTAAAGAACATAAGAATCATAAGACTGCAGATGTAAAATAATTTCCAGTATCTATTAGCAGTTACAAGAACTAATCACTTTCCATGTTCAATAAACATTTTTAGTCAGTTTAAGGGATGAACTACATTCACAGTCCTGCTACCATCAAGCACCCTCAATTACCCCATGAAGGCATCTGGGAGGGTCCATGAAGGCATCTGGGAGGGTCCATGACTCTTCTGTTGAACTGACCGGATCGTAAGTCACCAAAAATTTCCTATAATTAACACATTAAAAACTCCATATACAATTATGATGTCTATGGTTCTGAGAGTGGGAACTTAATATTTTAGTGAAATTTTAATATGGCTATTAGTTTGTCACTTGTTACTCTGTATATCACTATACTTTTTATGAAGGTACAGTACTTCGACCAAGAAATCTTTCATGATGTAATTTTTTTTTGTGGGGGGGATTACAAAGGGTTAGGTTTTAACTCCCCAAGAATGTGAGACACAACTCCATGTATAAGTGGTTTTGAAATCAAGGAAAAGCCTTCAATTCCACTTTTATTAAATGTTACATCAATGAATATGTACAGTACAGTCCTGTATACTTCCTGATCCATATACTGCACTACATCAGAAAACAAAGGCATATCATAATGAAGATGTGAAAAATAGTTAACATAATCAGCGTGTGCCACCCTAGGAATGTGTGCTTTCTAATCATGAGTCCATGGCTGCCTCTGTCCATGTGACCAGTCACTGTCAATGTGATAACTAAAACATCGGTTTAGATTTTTAACCAAACCTAATAATGTACTGTTGGAAGATTGTAGATATAGTATATGAGAAAAAGGTCTTCAACACCTGTGACAATTAGAATTTCTTTCATTTCTGTGAGGGAGCCTAAAGTGATTTGAGGATATAAAGAACATAAAAAAAATGAGTTATGACTAGTTTTGTCCCAACAGAAAATAGTTCTAAGGGAATGTGAGCATGAATGTGTAGAGTAACCAAGTGTTAAAGAAGGATCATTCATGAGCCATCTCTGTCTGATGAAAAATGTCACAGCAACTAAGATACATAATGTGCTGGCTGTCAATTACCTGGATATGGTAACAGTTGGCATTAACAGCAAGACAGCTGGCTTTAACCTCATCCCAGGCTTTTCTACGATGGTGCTGTCGCTCTGTGTGACTCAGGTCCAGGACACACACAACATCCATGTGTGCCCGGATGCCTGCCAGAATGACTGACTGACCCGAGTGGTCACTCTTGCTGCCTAAGCTGTCTGTCATCGTGCACACCTGTGAATTAAAGATTTATCAAATATCAGAAATGTGAATGACATAAAACTGCAGACACCACTAATGGAGATGAATGCCCTACCTTAGCACAATGCCTGAATTCCAGGATATGCTGTTGCATGTGATTTTTATTTTTTTTCAGAAATTTAATATGACATCATGAACTTTAGTTATAAGAATACATAAATAAATGGAAAGGAGATAATCATCATCATTGGAGCATGGAAAAAATGAAAGCGACTGCTGAGATCACAGAGATGTAAGCTCTAAACAAATAAACTTAGATACAGTATCCCTAATTATCCCAAAATTTTATTCTTACACCCATTTTCACTATCGTAAAGTGATCCTCACTGATCTGAAACATCATCTGATCAACAATTTAAATCAGTTCATATTCAAATTAACCCACCCCTCCCCACCCTGTGGTGAGTCCTGACAGCTCTGCACTCATGCACTGGTCTTTGTTTGGATATTAAAAATATGTTTTTCCGATGTTATTTGACGAATTTTGAACGAATTTGATATTCATTTCAGCCGGAAATCAATAGTTTTTGAGATACACCTCCCCCCCCATCAATCTTAGCGAAAATGTATTTTTTTCTGAGTAATCACATAAATAAAATACCAACCAACTAACAAAACGAAACCTGACCTAACCTAACCTAACACTATTTTTCTGATGAAACTCTGCAATTGACATAAAATAATCTCTATCACAATGTTGGCACAGCAATTTCCACCAGTTCAGCCATATCTGGTTATTCTGGTTCTGAAAAATCAAATCTCCGCTCCCCAATTATAAGTCTCCTATCGCTATAGCCAATAAGAAACTCCCACACCAC